GTGGGAGAGAGGTGGCGGATTCCGCCACCCCCAGGGTTGTCTTTAAAAGCTTCTCGTCAATAAATACCCCCATAAACATTATGGATCATCCTCTGCATCTGCTTCCGCAAGTCGCCCGTCTGGCCGTGGGCTATCAGAGAAACATGGCTCGTACGTGCTGCGCTTGCGCCCACACCATTCGCGCACACCATTTTGGGAAGAAAACGTTGCAGGTTGCGAGTAGCCTTCATCGCAACCACACTACCCTTATACGCAGACAAAGATATACCCACAACATCCTTCATTAAAAGACCTGTCGACAACCTGGGGAGGTGTAACGCGGTATTCGTCAAACGTACTCTCGAGGAATGGTCCATGCAGAACGATTTATCCACTATTTCCCCCGCTCCAGTACCAAGGTGCACTTTTCTCGGGGGTGGTTGTTCGGAAATCCGAAAACACCTGCAAACACCTTGTCTCCAGGCGCAGGTCGCTGTTTTTCTACTTTGCTATATTTTTTATCGTTTGGGCGACAAATGTTTGTCGATTTCGAGTATCTCAACGGATTTGAATAGATGTCGGCATTTCCTGTGATGGGTGTATTTTTCTTTTTTGGATACTATTCGAAATCGATGGAGTTACCAATCAAAAACTGGCTCTGGGAGGCCACGACTTAATTGCCTTCTTTAACGAGATTCACCCAGCCAGCCGAATATAAAATATACCGCGGCAAACGATTCCGTTCATCAATTCCAGTAAACTTTCTCCTTTTTTAAGAGAAAAATTCGCCTTTGTGAGAAAAGCGACCTATTGTCTTGGCGCCGAATGTATGCAGAGTACAAGTGATACCGATGCGGGGGGAATTTCAGAGGGGATTCCGTGGTGATATATTGGGGGTACCGTGGTTACATGGGGGGCTCCGAGGTGATGAAGGGGTCCCCTGGATCATTTTTTGGCAAAAACATGGTGCATTTTCTCAAAACATAGTCAACGCCCAAGCTATCCACGTAGCTCGACGAGGCGATCACGAATCTCGTTGTTTCACAGTTCCATTATGTTTCTTTCAAACGTTTTCGCACAAAACGTGAATGGACAAATTGTTGTGCAATGACCATAGCGTTGTCAAAATTTTCTAACTTGTACCAGAAAATGCTATATATCTCTCTGTAGGTTTAAAATTGGATTTGTAGCAACGTTTATCGTGCCTAGCTGTTTGCTCCCACCTACAAACATGCTCATCGTCAGGTGGCCGGTTACCGCGTAGTGTATTGTCGCGTTAATCAACACAACACAACCGTCGGAAGGCCCGCAAAGCTCGCAAAACGGGTGTTATCTTTTCTGTGATGAATGGAAATTTTTCAAAATTTCGAAATTCCTACCCCAGAGGTGGCGGGGACGGCTTACGTCTCCGAAAATTTCGTTCTCGCACACCCTTCGCTGAATGTCGTTTTCGATATGTTCGACTATAGGGTCTGGGGTGCAATGCACCTACAGCAAGCGGAAGCCTAGGATCTGGGGTGCAATGCACCTACAGCAAGCGGAAGCCGCACCAGCCTCAAAATCAGCACAAGCACCAGCGCCGTCCACGTGGCCCTGCTGGCATGCAGTCCACGGAGTTGCTGCGCCACTCGTCATCTGGGGTACTCCTGGACTGCGGCATGCTGCCTTTGAAGAGGTCAGTTGTCTTTACTAGCCGCGGTGGTAAAATTGCGAATACAACAGAAACGTGTAATCGTTAGCTAGAATCACAGAAACCAGTTTGTGCGCCATTGCATCCGATCCTCATCGTAGCAGAGTAAATATATCGTGGTTGCAGGAAAGGTAATGACTGATCCGTGCTGAAACTGCTGCCCATCGGCATTAATTGGCGTACAGTAGCGGCTACGGTTTAAGAGAAATGTGAAATAGCAATACCGATTTAAGATAGGTGAATTGACTACACAAAAAAAATCGCCGTGTTTCGGAGGTTATGTCTTGAATCGAACCTCCGAAAAAGAGCCGAGTAGCCGTCACACACACAGCTTGCAGATATCATGACCTGCCCAGCACGCAGCCACTGCATAGCGGTCCTCGATCACACGCCAGGCCCACCATAATTCACAAATCACCCCGTCCATGAATCAAGGACAGCGAGCGAAACGCGTTCATTCATGGTATCACACGACACCATGATTATTTTCCAAAACATCGATATGAGGAGTGTACCCGGTACTTGCGGTGGGTTCATTGCTCGCCTAGAAACAGATTGAGCAGTGTGTGGAGCCAGCTCAAAGGTGCCAACGCATACTGACGACGTGATGATATGTCTCCACAAACGTTAACAGCTGGGTGATGCGAGAGCATCCATCTTCCATGGCCTTCAAGATAATGGTCTCTCAAACCGTAGCCAATACGGTGTACAAGAACCGCAGCAAAAACGATATGACAGAAAACCCGATTTAGGAGAGAGGAACTGGGATGGCACGACCCTCTCTTACAACGTAGCCGCTACTGTATGCCCACTGGGCCAGCTTCACCGTCGCGCAGTACCCCAAAACATATCTTACATGTTCGATACATCGCAGCTTCATGTATGTATGGGCTGGAGGAGTGCTCTCGACGTTAAAGAGCGCTCGAAGGGTTGCGTGTCATATCGGGCGAGAGCTTTTGCACGAGCTCACCACGTCCACACGCGCGTCTACTGTACCAGGTTCAGGTTGAACGCATCTCCGGCGACTGGTCTCGTGGGCATGCAGGAGAACGTGTTTTTGAGTGACTTCTTCGGCTGCGTTGGCTTCTTGCCGCTCACAACCCCAAGGTGCAGATAACACGTCCATGGTACACACTGCAGGGGGAGTAGCTGACCTAGTCGCCGCCAAAAGTATCCTCGGGTCCCATGTGTATGTTGCCAATGTACTGTCGATGGGGGCCACCGGGTTTTGTCTCACCGATGGAAGGTCGCACCCTCCCGCGCAGTCACGCGCCTGATCTTTGATTCCTGTGCACTTGAATGTTGCCGCCAGTCACATCCGCGGAGAAATGGTGAGGATGATGACCCTCTCCACTGCCCCACACCGGCCGGACGCTTCGTACGACTCCCTCGATCAAGGCCAGTTCGGCGCCATCTTTTCCGAGGATGGCATTACCACGGGAAATCAGCTGTCGGCAGGCCCCTCGGCTTGCACGTTTTGGTGTGCAGTTGGTGTGGGAGCACTTGTGAAGGGCAGTCCTGTTGAATCGGTGAGAGGAAGGTGCTGTGCTTGGTTGCCTACCGTTGTTCCACGTCGCGTAGGCGCATACCCTGTGCTTGGTGCCACCGTTGATAGTGGTGTGCATCTACCGGCCGATGCAACGTCAAGCTTACGACAGAAGTCACCAGTCAGAACATCGCCCGCGAATTACAACACCTCCCCAATGTGCCACGAAAGGTGGCGAACTACTCCCGACTTGCGAGAGATGCACTGGATGCCTACACTGGTCCTGTGAATGCCGAGGTGGCAAAGTGAGTTACAGTGACAAATTTCAACACGAGGGCATCCCGTACCGCGACCGTTAGTATCCTTGTCACATGTGTCACGCGGCACGTATCGGTTCCAGATCATGGCTCGTGCTAGCCATACGGTTTCGCCACAACAATCATTGCACGACCATAACCGTTTCAAACATATTTGGCGGTCCAGTGAATCATGGCTTTCGGAGTAACGTATGCCACCCACGATGCCATTCCCCCCGTCGTGGCATCACAAGGTTCAATTTCTCCATATCAAAGAGGTTGACAGTACCAACCGGTACGGTTTTGGCAAGGCTTACATCGTGCATTCCTAACGCCACGCTCTGGGGCATTGACTCTCGTTACGTTGACGAGCTCCAGTGTTTGACCTCATTCCAAGGGGTACGGTATCTTGTATGGTACACGGTGGTCTTTCCTTTCGACCCCATACCCTGCCCACCCCGTCCTCGCCTCAACATAAATTCAGGGCGTGGGCGATCTCGGGTTACTTCTACGGTTTCATGGGAGACACGGTGAGCTAGATTCCGGCGGGAGGTACGGTACCCTTGGTCGGAGCAGCCCTCTTGCTCGTTGATAGGCCCAATCAGTTGGCCATTCTATGAGTTTTTTGTCGTCAACGGCACATAAAAACATGGCAGTGGTCTACTCCATCTGAACATACCTCCCACATCCTCTCGGGGCGATGTACGTGTGTATTTCTGTGCTTCAGGCGACGTTTCAAGAGTACCTGGGGCTCGCGGACTCCTTTTTGACTGATTCCATCGAGCGAGGATCAACTGACATCCTTCCTGCGGTGAGTATGACGTCATCACCTTCTGTTGGGCTACGGCTTTGTCCTTTGTCTAGAGTTCGTTTCCCTGACGGACGAAACTAGTTGTATGAGCACGATGACCGCTACTGTACCTCCACAACGAATACAGGCAAGGGAATGGTTGAATACCGGGTTTTCTGTACACATCTTAGCAGCAGCACCGAAGTGCTTTTGGTTGTCCAATCAGCAGGCCACGTACGGAATCAGTGAGTATCGCGAGACTGGTTGGCCACTCGTGTTTGCCGTTGTGATGTGTAGGCCGCGCGTGAGCGCAAGCAATGGCTGTTCTTATGCTAGCAATGGGTTTCAGCCCTGATCGACGATACATATGGGCGTCAACGGCAGCGGCTCGCAACCGTTTACACGCTCCAGGGTAGTACTTCACGATCTAACAGGAGTCCCAGCTTGCGTAGGGCCGGTAGGCGTGGGGAGGCATAGCCGATGCAGCGTTTGCTGCTCAAAAACCAGGAGGGTTGATGACATGTGTGTCCGGCACGAAGAATAGCTAGTCCCCGTCGTCGTGAAATGGTACCGGGATTTCCGAGGATGTGATCTGTGGCCGCGCTGCTAAAAGTGGCCAGAGGTTGAGATCGATGCAAGCGCTTGTGTTTGAGGCGCGCGTGTGCTGGCTGTAGATGTTGTTTTGGGGCAGCAACGTTGCTGTGCACACAGACTGAAAGCATGACCGACATCCCGAAAATAATACAAGATGGTTGGCGTCCTGCCCCCGATGAGCACCTTCCCCTACGCGCAAAGCGACCTCGGACCTTGGGTTGACGTTATTCAAGCCATCTCGGGCGAGGTGATCCCGGCAGCTCGCCTAGTATTCACAGCGGTTGATGGATGCGCTTGACAGGTGCGAAACCACTTCATTGTGGAGACTGGTTCATTCAAATGTGTGCATCTCGATTGGGACGCCATTTGTTTCTTCATGCCGCTCAATTCGTCCGACTATTCCACCACATTTTTCATCGCCAGAATGAACCGGCGGTGGCGGTCTGACCAGTCTCGGCCGTCTTACTACCATGACGGCGGTTTATCCAATGGCCTGTATTTGTTAAAGTTGTGCCTACCTGGTGAACCCTCGTACACTCTCGTGCATCTCGGCCAGGGATTCGCCGAGATAATCCGTCTCAAGCAGACCGTCAAGGTGTACGCGGGAAACCTCGACGCTGCGTACATCGACTTTTTGGGCTCCCGACGTCGAGAGCCTCCACAGGTGTGTCCTGATGAGCTCGCAGTCAGGGATAGTACCCCCGCCTCTCGGCGATGGAAGGGCATGAGCTCCTCGAAGTACCGGAATCGGGATCGCGCAGTAAAGCCATCGAAACACCTTCACTTCGAAAGAGCCGACGCAAGCACGATAATGTCACCAAGCGCTGTAGGTACTTCATCCCGCCGAACACGGAAGAAAAGGCACACCAGGGTCTGTGCAACATGCGCACACAGTACGTTTTGGTTGCATCAGCGACGTTGAGAGTCTGGAGTTGTCACACTGTCCAACATCGCCGACGGCACAAACGTGTAGGAGGCTACCGTAGGCAGTCGACAAACGACATCAGCGCATACGCTCAGGTCGACACGGGCGCGTGACCGCACTAGCCAAGACATTGAGCGACATGGTATTTTGTTGGTGTGTTGTAGCGCTTCCAACATGTATGTCGAAGTTCGTCCATAATCCTAGTTTCGGCGACTGGCTGTTTTTTCCCTTGGTGTCTCTGCACTAACTAACCTGTTTGCGTCAATTGTTTTTTTGGGTTAGGATTTAGAGAGTGCTCAAGACAGCAGCAGTAAAAGCGATAGCACGTTGAACCGAAAGCAGCAGTTATTTTTCAAGAGTGCCCTCCACGCTTGGTGTAACGCTGTCTACACATCAAGGCCGTGTGCCCTTTGCACCATGCCTCCCTCGCTGGCGACCACTTGATGTATATCTCTCCGACTTGGAGGGAGTAAGAGGTTTGGGTAGTGCTGTTCGATCGCGTATGGATGCGAGACCTGCCCTCCACCATCTCCTCCTGCTCTTGTGATCCAGGTCAACCCAGCTGCAAACGAAGGGGACTTATATCGCTATTTTTGCCAGGCATCTGCCGCGTTCGAGGAACTTGTCTTCGAGAAAGCTTGCGAGAAGAGTGCCACTCGCCGTCAGTTGAGTATTGACGAGCCTTGCGAGGAAGACAGAGGCGGTGGTAGCTCTCATGGCGCTGACCCCCAGGCGGAAGATGTGTCTGATGCTATGGTGACTGCACTCAAAGATGGCCTGATCGACTTCGGACACCTACAAGAAACAGTCGATCGGTGAGTCTGTTTCAACTTTTGTTTTGCGGATGGTTTTCGAGTACCATGCGACGTGTGTATTCAGCAGGGGGTTCACCATTAAGGAAGCCTGTGGAATAGTGCCACTGCCGGGTAAGGGCCGGTGATCGTAGAACGCATAGGAACCTTCAAGGTGTCTCATTCTCTGAACAGTGCCGGGTGCCCGGTAAAGTGCCGGTACAGTAGTCTTGGCGGGCACATACCGACTCTATACCGAGCCTCCTACGGCATCCCTGATGACGTAGAACCGTGTTTTCGGCAGCTCCTCTGTTGGGCGATCCGTCTCTCCGCACTTTGATCGTGTCAGCATGGAGTTTAAGTAGGCCTACACGCATCCGTCTCCCGATGTTTCCCTTTTCCCCTCATGGCCGGCTTGGATGCCTGGATGATGAGCAGGCCAAACATCCGCAAGGGCATCGGCGGCCTCCTCATGAACATGTGAGTAAACCTGAGAACGTGGTCCCGCTTGTCGGCGAAAGACGCACGTACCGTAAGGATGCATGTCTTCGTTCACTGTGCGGTCGTCTATTGAGATATTTATTCCTCGGTTTTTCTGTCGCGTAGGGGCGATAAGACGCCGATATGTGCCATGTACCCAATACCTGTGCGGGACCTACATTAGATATTTGGGACTGAAAAAATATCACACACCCCTTGCGATGACTCCGATCCGCGATTCTGAATAACTACACAGCGGCGATGTGGGGTGTTTTGAACGCACACCCCCGTGCCAAGACTCCGATGTGTGCAATCCTGAACAATCACAGCAGACACACACCAGCACTTCGTGTGCAGTATTGCAGCATCAGGACCACAACATGACGAACACAGACACAAAAGCACACCCAGCACACCTGGACCAGTTGTAGCAGGTTGCGCTAGAACGTTACGATTGCAGCGGGGTATTGGCCAGTGGAGGAGAGTTTTGGTTCCGTGCCACGAACGAAGAAGGACGTGGCCTACGGGAGCTGTATCATTTTCCTGCAAGTCCTTGGCCAGGAATTCGTATTGTTTCCCGTTATCCTACCTATTATTTCAGTAGTACCGTAGTTGGTTGTGGTCGTTTGGTGTCGTGTGGTTTGTACGCGTTCTTGATTAGTTGGGTAGATACCGTTTGCTGATTCCGACAATTATATCAATGTCGACCAAGACGGCGGTTCTAGAAATATTTAAGTATTACTTGCACATGAGCAAAGGTAAGATGCCAAAGTACAGCAGTGGAGCCCATGATACAAGCTACTTTGATACAGTAGTGGCCCGCAACAAAAGCTGGATATCACTCGTGGTATCCCACCTCGCCGAAGGTATCGGGGTATCCGCACACGCCTGTGAAAAGTGAACGGTACCTGTGCAATAACCAATTATATCCCTTGGAACCCGATATTGTTTAGCACCCCTGTGCGATGCAGCCGATCCATGCGAAGACTCGCTTTCTTACGGTATGCTGTGGTCTTTGCGTGCGATTCCTGAGGCTCCGTAGACCCTTATAAGCGGGCTCCGTGGGCTCTTATGAGTACTCCCCATTTCAGTCACACGAATGATTCTAGGCTGTGGAGAAGGTGTATGAGATTCGAATGATGATTCGCGTCGTGCAGGACGTGTTTTCTCCATCTGGACAATAATCCGTTCCTTGTCTCGCAGGGCCCTGGCTTTTCTGAAAGCAACGAACGGAGACACTGGTGGGGCGTTCGAGAGGTTAGAGCATTGCGTCGAAGTATTTGAGCGGTACCCTGGCGTGTGTCGCTGCATGATGCTATGGTGAGCCAATCGTGTGAACATCTCCAAAGATTTTGTAAGCCTCTGACTGCGATCTGTGGTCGTGGCATATTCTAACAATTACCTGCCCCGTGACTCTGTATGACAAGAAGAGTGTTCCTGAAGCAATTTGTTGTTCAATGTGAAGATTTGGTGCTGCATGTTGACATACTTTCTGCCTCTACAAACGCCGTTATTGACAAAGCTGGCGATCTTGTTTCCGGTGTGTCTTTGGCGTCGTGTACTGAGATTATTTGTGATACGACATTAGAGTCATCTTCCTGTCTTTCTGCCGCCCTCGTACCTCTCTCCATGTAAAGGTGTCACGTTTCGCACTCTATCCTGGCAGCTCTAGCAGCGATTAAGAGTTCCAGAGCTCGAGAACTCTACAACCGGCTGCGGGATGTCTACAATCGTTTTCGCCCCGCTTCCTTCCTGCCAGCACCACCATTGGATGAGTGGCGTGGGACGTCTGCATTCTGCGATGATTTCCAGTGCAGGTGCGTGGGGGGTTGATATCCTGCCATTGCATATGCAGAACGGTTTGTCTAACGTTTCCCCGACAGGAAGGCACATTCTGTTGGGATGGCGTTGATTTTTCTCCGATTTGTATTATCAACCTAGACACCCTATTTTGCCTGCGCCAACATTGAACGATGGAAATGTTTTGGTATGTTCATACCTTTTCGTCTTCGATCAACTTTAGCTCTTGGTTCTTTTGGAAGTACACCTATTCTGATGGCAAGGACAGCTTTCAGGAGTGTATGCTAAGTCCCTGTAAACACGCAGAAGCCATGGCCTACGAAGCCTGTAGTCAACCTTAAAATCCAAAACGTTTGTTGTGCAAGTAGTGCAACGTCGTTATTGATGCCGACGTGACAATGTTTGACGCCTGATCAGTTCCTCCTCTTTCCTCCTCCTCCTCTTAAAATGCAACGAAATGAGTGCCCGTGTATAAAACCTAGATCCCAAAGTGCGGAACAGACGGAAACGAAAATGCGACACCCAGAGGGGCTAGAGGACTACCACGGGCCATAATATTTCTTTTTCTTTTAAAGATTTTTCTCTCTGACAAGCAGCACTTTCTCTAGGACTCTCACAGGCCTCGATTTCGGTCTCTGTCGGCCGCCTACATTTTGTTTTGCCGCTTTTTCCGCTCCGTTTCTTCCGCTTAACCGCTTTTCCGATTTTTCTCCCTCGAGTAACGTTTCCACACTTTACCCAAACACGTCATATTTCTCTTACTTTTCGCGCGTCGGGCTCTCCACGTGGTGCTCTCCGCATGTAGGACTCCTGTACGTTCAACTTTCAACCCTCCGGGGGAGGGGCTTCTTTCGGATCCGACTGTTGACGACATACCTCTCAGCCTGTCTCTCAGCTGCTGCTGCGCGATGTAGGACGTCCATCCTCTCAGTCTTTCCTCTGCCAACAGCAGGTTCTCACAGGGCTTTTTATCTGTATGTCACACATCGCGCTCTCCACATGTATGTAATGTACTGTACGTTCAACTTTCAACCCTCCGGGCTTCTTTCGATTCCGATGATTGACATACCTGTCAACAATCTGTCAGTCAGCTGCAACACGATGTATGACGTCTATGGATAAACACTTTATTCACGGGTTCCCCACGGGTTGAAACGCGGGCAAGACGCTTCCTGCTCTCTCGCCCCTCTCGTCGACTCGTCCTCACGTCCCTTCGCATATTTCTTCTCGCTCTGCGTCTGCCTCGCTCGCGTCTGGCTCCGTCGCACGCGGTAACGGTCGCCACTTTCCTCTGCTCCCAACCCACGACGAATCGTATTCTGTGTAGTCTCCCTCTCTTTCTTTCTCTCTGCTCTCCCACACCGCCAGTCTATATCTCTGTGCTCCCATGTCGGGTTATCGGTACGTTGCACATTCATGCGAACATTCCGCACGCTTTGATGTCATTTCTTCTCCGCTCTCCAATCGTGTTTGTCGTCTCACTCTGCGTCGCTCACTCGCGGAACCTTTCGCCCTTTTCCTCTGCTCTCCATCCATACACACATGACATTGCATGCCAGTCTCTCACTCCCCTCTGATACACCAGCCTGTGTCCCGGCTCTCACGTGTCGTGTCACATTCTTCTTTTATTTCCATCTGTCATCTCATCCGGATCTTGTGGTCTTTCGGTATTGTCCGTTCATCGTTCCGCCTCGGTTCTGACATACCAATTCTTCTATTCTTCACTGGTGGTTCTGTCTTGCCTGCTCGTGGAAACCGGATGGATCGGTCAGTGGATACCTCAATCGATCTGGCGCGGTTCATGGTTCAGACCGCTCTGGGCAGGCCCTCATATCATCTCCTTCTCGAGTGGACACTACAATACAGCGGTATACTACCGAAACATTTTTTCCTTTTTTTTCGCATGAACGGCACTTCTTTTCTGATTTTCCGCACTCTCCATGGTCTCTCTTGCCCGCTAAGCGTAAACTATAGCTGCTGATGATGACACCAGGATAGCAGCACAGCAGTAGTAGCTCGACCGAGTTGGTCGGTTTGTTGCTCTGCCCTTTTTCTCTCGCTTGGGCCGTTCATCTCAGTTGTGTGGCTCAAGAAAATGCGTTTGGCACACCATTCCATATTGTTGGCCGAGCAATCATTCAACTCCGCACACTGCATGTATGTACACTTGAACTCTGAGTGCCGCGGTGGTACAGCTTGCTGCTGCAACGTACCGATATCCCAGTTCATGAAGCACGATGAACCACGCGAGTAGACGCCGGGCGCACTTCTGGCGGTGAGGTCGAGGTCTATTGAGCGGGGCGGTGAAAGCGTGAAAGCCGCCAGCACTACCACTTCATTTTGATGTAGTGCTACTGCTGTATGGCACGAATCGAGTCGCCCTCATTCTTTCTGCACCGATACATTTTTAATATCATTTTCAATACCTTTGTTTCTGGCACGAATGTTGAGTACCACTGATCGCGAATCTTGGAATCGATCCATTGAGCGGGCGGCGAAAGCCGCCAGACAACCGTGTAGATCAATACAAATGAGGCACCCGTATTCCTGAGCACTGAAAACACGATTGTACTGTTGGAGTCGTAACCATTTTCGACTACAGGCTTTCGACCAAGCCGTGGCGAAACGTGTGCTCGAGCGCTGGACGAGGACCTCGTCCTTGCCCTTCGCGTCAAAAGCAACCCGTTTGGACACAAGCTTCAAACCTCGCCCGCGCTGGCGCCTACTGGTTCACCAATACGTTGTTTGCAGGTGCTTTGAGGGTATCATCGCGAGTCAAGCCCGGAGCATTTTCCCCGCCCCATCCAACTGCAGTAGCAACAATACCGACCTGCAGCAAACTCATTGCACGGAGGACTCCCTGGAGGTTGCGGACGAGGACCATGATGGCGGTATCGTATCAGCGGGTGTCATTCCCGAGAACGCGATCGGCTCGATCATGGCTGCGCCTTGCAGCAACGGAGACAAACCAATGGCATCTACTAGCTCGTGGGAATTGAACCAAGAGCCCGCACTACCAATGAGCCCACCTGTCGGACCGAGCTTGTCCACTTCACATGTGCACTGTGAGCCGGACAGGGGAGCAGCAAGTGGTCCTGACGCATGCAGCGGTGCGGTCGAGGGGTGTGGTGGTGGAGTGCTTTCCGGCTTAGTGGCCCCAGTTCCCGATGTGTCCTTGAGATTGCCGGAGCTGAGACAGGCAGATGGTGTCCCAGAGGACCCAGGGGAGGATACAATTGCCACGGCAGACTGGCTAGATGTTACTCATGCTATGTTGGGAGCAATTGACCGGATTAATTCGGCGTTGTAATGTTTACGGTTTTTGGTCAGGTTGTCGATATTGAATCTGCGTGCGAAGAGGAATTCTCCACCCCGATGATCACAATAAGCCTGGTGTAGCGGCGTACACATCAGGGCTATTGTTTGTCATCTGATGCTACAAGGGTAGCCATCCCTGACGGTGGCTTTTTCCAAACAGCCGTGCAATGCAGCTCTTGGCGAGAAGCGGTCAGTCCGGGTTGGGGCCAAAAGAGTGTGTGCAGTGTGTTTGAGGAATGTGCCAACGTAGGTACCATGAATAGGTCCATCTATATTAGAAGCACTTCATGGTTGTCTTTGAAGAAAGAAGTTGAAAAGCGCCCGGTAACGCTCGAGACAAAAAGCGGGCCGGCCTCGCGAGTGTCCTGGTTGGGAGCATGCTACGGCAATCGCGGCAACTCTCCCCGTCCGTACCTAATACGGTATGCGCAGAGCGTCCGCACATTCGGGGTTTTGTGCAGCTGAGGGCGCCGCCGCACGAGCCCAATCGAGTTCTCCTCGTGGGAGGTAAGGACAGACGGAGAGACCGACCATGCCTAGGGCTGGCGGTGGTCCATAGGTGTTGGTTCCAAGCGTCCGCTTCCAGGTGGCCAGAGGAAGGTTGTGGGTAGGTTGAGGCACCGACTACAAGCTGGGGGGGGGAGATTACGGGAGGTTGCAGCCCAAAGGTGTGCAAGTCATCCAGCATCTCAGATAGTGGTGTTATTCCAACCAACACATCGGGCTGCAGGTCCAATGAAGGAATCGGCTCCAAGACGAACTCATCCTCCCAACTCCCCGCCCCCAGCTTGTAGTTTTGGGTGCACGCGGGATCTGCGAAGGAAGGTGCATTCTACTGCTGTATGTAGGGCGAGCCATGCTAGTTAACGGAAACCGTATTCTTCGCGGGTCGATTCTGGTTTGTCGTGGCGTCGGTGGATCGCCGGTTTAGCGGCGGGTTCAGTGTTTCCATGTCGTGATCGGGATGTGGGATAGTCAATAGACTATAGGTGATCCAGCATTACATGCGTACAGTAGTCCAGCTTCTGAGTCTCGGCACGCTTGGCACACGATGTTTACACCGGGGTCAAGGGCGAACGCCGAGGCGATGCCACCATCCGGGAACGGGACAAAGTATGTCTGTGCAGCGTGTTTGGTTCAGGCCGGCGGGATATCTAACGACTACGGGCATGGCATGAACGCACGCAGGGAAATATAATTTGAAACGCTGAACGCCTGAAAACCTGAAAACCTGAAAAGGAACCTTGGTTGGGTTTGGTTCCCAATCTGAACCTCGGTGCTCGCAGGCTCTGTGCCTCTGTGAAATCGGTGCATTGTGGCCATCATGACGTCATGACGTCGACGTAAGCATGTTATCCCCGCCAAAGTCCCGCAACTTTGGCTACCCACCCCTTTCGGAGGCGGGTGAATGAACCTCGCTCAGCACGCAACACGCGACGTGCTCTCGTGCGTACCGAGGAAGGGGTTGGCATATGATCATACAGATACAGGACGGCTTCTGTCCCGAAGTTTCGGAGTACACCTGGCAGAACTTGTGACATGAGCAGAGTTGTTGATCGTCGCCGCTGAACCGCCGCCACCTCGGTTGGACATCATTGGTATTCGGCATCCCGCCTTTGGCCGTCTCTCTCTGCACCTTCACCAAAGGGATTCGCCCCATTGCCTCCAGCACTACCTCAGGTTTGTTCATGCGTGTGCTTCTTTGACAAACATAAACTCTCTTCTGTATAAACACTGCTGCTGTAGTTTTGGAACATATAAGTTGAACTTGTCCGCCGGCGGCTACAGCAGTACATGTAAGGTTAGCATGCTGCAGTGCAGGACCTCCTTCATCGGTTGGAGGAGGTGCCCATCTCTCCTCTTGCTTCCTCATCTCCTAGTAGTACATTGCTGAAATGACATCTGTGCGTCCACCGAGCATACCCTGCAGCGTCGTCGGAAGATGCAGTATTTTTTTGTTTTTTGGTCTCCATTTCTAATCAGCGCTCACAGCACTAGTGCCGTTTACTCCAACCCGTCTTCACACAGAAGAGCCCCTCTCTACCCTCCCCTCCTGTGGTTCTTCGCCTTCGATTTTTAATGCGAGAAGAGTTCAGCACTCTCTTCCCTCTGTGTACACACGAACAACTGTAGCGCTATCCACTAGGCCAGGAGCCGAGCGAGGGAAAAACTCACTATGCAAGAAAAGCTCGCTTACGCCGGGATTCGAACCCCTGACCTGGCCTCTAGAAGGTTTCGAGGACACCAACTAGACCACTGGGGCGACCGGTTCACAATACCATGGTTTTGTACGAAGCACGAGTGTACCATGATCCATCGATGGCCCACACAGACTTTTGTTTCAACTACTTGCCGCGCGTTCGTTGCAACGTCGTGATAGAGCAACAACTTTTACCCTGTTCACCCCAACGTTTCTAAAACTTGTGCACACAGGGAAACGGGACACGAGGTAGAGACTTCGAACATGGATTCCAGTTACCGGAGCGTGGTCACGAACAACCTTGCGATGCGCAGGAGCTGCTGTGAATGCGGGCGAAAGAAGAGGAAGTGCGACGGCATGGCGCCTTGCAGGTGTGATATGCACTAAATATTGACATGAACCATCTTGCTGTTTGGAGTCTGATGTTCCTTTCTTCCTTTTGGGTTTAAGATATTTGATCTTTCGATCGATTTGAACACAACCAATACGGAGTCCCAGATATTGGCCTACAGCAATCGCCTACGAGATACACCAGCCTACCCGTTGGAACTTGCACACTTTGGTCTCAGTGTATACCACAGTACTGTAGTAGATGGGGAGGTGGAATAGCTTTTTGGTGGAAAAAAGTACCTGCTGTAGGCTCGTACGTTGTAGAGGGGGGGGGGGGGGGTGTACTCATAGTCGTGCATGCCGTGACCATTGACCTCGCATCCCTACAAAGCCGGGACGGAGCACGCCGGGTTCTCACCGGACCAGGCTCTCACATCACCAAGCGCTTCCGCCGTGAGGTATTTGGCGAGTCGCATGAAGGGTGAGCTGCATCCTGCTAACGGTGTTCGGCATCTTGTGCTTACTTCCTTGCGTACGGATGACAGCTACGTATGACTTAATTTATTTTCTGGTGCTTTCACTTCCAGAGACAGTTGTAAGCACTGTGTAACTGCCTCGAGGATGCTTGACCATTTTAACACAACGTGGTGCGATCATCCCCCTTGCGCGGAGTGAGGGTTCTCGACCCCGCACAACATGATCTACTCGACCACCATTCATGGTTACCGCCAAAAAAAAACGAGGAAAAAAAAAAAAAACGGTAACCTGGTGACCGAGTTCACGAAGTGAATTGGCTTGTTTTACAACGTCGTTGCCAAGCGACGAAAACCCAACCCCGATGGCAAACACCGGGGGGGGCGGCTTGTTTTACAACGTCGTTGCCAAGCGACGAAAACCCAACCCCGATGGCAAACACCGAGGGGGCGGGGGGGGTGGTGTTTATCACCATCAGCAAAATAGGGGTGGTGGTGTTCATCATCAGCTGGAGAGGCGAGGTGGTATTCCATCATCAGCTGGAGAGGGGGGTGGTGTTCATCACCAGCTAGAGAGGCGAGGTGGTATTCCATCATCAGCTGGAGAGGGGGGTGGCGTTCATCATCATCAGCTAGAGAGGCGAGGTGGTGTTCCATCATCAACTAGGGAGGGAGGGTGGCGTTCATCATCAGCAGCAGGAGAGGGGGGATGGTGTTCCATCATCAGATAGAGAGAGGGTGGTGTCTGGTGTGCAACTCAACTCAACAGCACGTGATGGGTGACCAGACTAACTAGCAGGGAGGGCACGGATACCCTCGCAGCCATGTATAGAGAGGTGTACAGCAGTACACTCATCGTCAATGAATGGTGGTGTTACAGCAGTAGGAGCGTGTTTTTGGTGATGATTTGCCTCTCTCTCCAACCAAGCAAGGTCGCTGCCACAAGCAGGCACGGTTGAATCGCGACCTAACTGTTATTCTCTCCTCTCGCTTCCTCCACCGCTAGGCTAACAGCAGCAGTAGGGGCGACACGCACCCTCTCGCACACATGTGTAGACAGCAAACCAGCAGTACATACATCGTCGATGGTGGTGCCTACGAACGAGCGTGTGTTGATGGTGTGATGTGCCTCGCCAAGCCCACTGCCGCCCGCTGCAAACAATACAATATGCAAGCGGTGCCGAGACCCAACCAACTAAACGTGTATCTCTCCTCTCGCTTCCTCCGCCGATAGCTAACAGCAGTAGTATACGGCACACTCTGCTCCCATCTTGCTGTGTCGCCCTCCCCCCTTGTCCACGTCTGACTCCGGGTTTATGATGTCTGTTGCGTGAGCCTACGTACGTCTGGTTCCAAGCAAGCCTCCTCCTCGGTCTTGGATACAATCTGACATTTATGTCGACAGAGATGCTGTGCTACCTCGACGCACCGACCACGGCTTGAAAAGGTAGCAGTTGGGGCAGCTCGTTCAAAATGCTACTTGTTATGCACAAGTCTGATATTGCAATTTGGTGCCTAGATGGTGAAATGGGCTCCAATCTCCTGGGTATTTATCGCGGCACAGACAGACACCGGACACACTCTCGTGCAAATTGCCCGCCAGTGCAAGATTGTGTTGTTTTTTTATTGCAGTACAACGTACATCACTATCCCTCTAATCACCCGCTTTTAAACCCTCCTATGCGCCTCAAAAAAGTCATTATTACGGCGTTTCGGGGGTGGTGGTCACTTCGTACCCTTCCCATCCAAGAAATTGTCCAAAATAAGAAAAGGGTGCCTACGTGTGCAGTATATCATTTTTTTCGGGCACGCTTGGAAATGCCTGAACTTCCTTTTTGTCATTTTTCCACGCGCTATCAGCTAAAACCGCCGAGACGGTGGCGCATCTAGACAGGTATCCCCGATATTTGAGCTGATGCGTTTTCGCTGAGGCGGCTGCTTCGCTATGTGTGTCGCATGGGAGAGAGGTGGCGGACTCCCCACGACCCCCAAGGTTGTCTGCGAAAGCTTGTCGTTGATGAATACCCTGATAAACCTCATCGAGCATCCTCTTCACTCTCTTCCGCAAGTCGCCCGTCTCGCCGCGTGCTATCAGAGAAACATGGCTCGTACGTGCTTGCTTGCGCTAACTTGCGCACGCACCACTCACGCACACCATTTCGGGAGAAAAATCCGTTTTAGTTTGCGGGTAGCCTTCATCGAACCCAAACTATCCTTCCACAGACAATGAAATTCCCACAATCAACTTGCCGACAATACGGAGAGGTCTGCTGTTTAGTGTACCGCGGTATCCGTCAAACGTACTCTCGAGGTAGCATTGTCAGTTTTTATAACATGTACAAGCAAGTACTGCTGTCTCTCTCTGTAGGTGTACTCTTGGATATTGTATCTATGTTTATCGTGCCTAGCTGTTTGCTCCCACCTAAAAACAAGCTCATCGCCAGGTGGCCGTTACCGCAAAGTGTATTGTCGCGTTAGTCAACACAACACGAACGTCGGAAGGCCGCAAAGCTCGCTGAACGGCTCGTATTTTTCCTGTGATTCATGAAACCGTTGCGAAATTTCGAAATTCCTACTCCTGAGGTGGGGGGGACGGCTTACATCTTCGAAAATTTCGTTCGTGCACACCCTTCGTTGAAAGTTGTTTTCGATATGTTCGCCCTTTTCATGATGTAATTCATAGCCGGTGCCTAGCATCTGGGGTTCAATGCACCTACATCAAGCGGAAGCCGCGCCAGCCTCAGCCTCAGCACCGGCACCAACACAATCCACGTGGTCCTGTTGGCATGCAGTCAACGGAGTTACTGCGCCACTCGTCATCTGGCGCACTCCTGGCCTGCGGCATGCTGCCTTTGAAGAGGTCAGTCGTCTTTACTAGCCACGGTGGTTTGTTTCGACTACAACAGAAATGCAACAAGTCCTGTTTTTCTAGAGTCACAGAAACCAGTGTGTCCGCCGTTGTGTCCGAGCCTTGTCGTAGCAGATTAAATGTATCGTGGTTGCAGGAAAGGCAGCGACGAATCCGGGCTGAAATTGCTGCCCATCGGCATTGAATGGCGTATATCACACTGAGTGAGCTTCACCATCGCGCAGTACCTCCAAACACATGTTAGACGTGGGGTACATCGCAGCCTCATGTATGAGATGGAGGAGTGCTCTTGACGTTGAAAAGCCCCCAAATTGTTGCGTGTCATATCGGGCGAGAGCTTTTGCACGAGCTCACCACGTCCAAACGCGCGTCTACTGTACCAGGTTCAGGTTGAGTGCATCTCCGGCGACTGGTCTCGTGGGCATGCAGGAAAACACCTTCCTCAGCGACTTCTTCGGCTGCGTTGGTTTCTTGCCGCTCACCACCCCAAGGTGCAGATATCACGTTGATGGTACACACAACAGGGGGAGTAGCTGACCTAATCGCCACCAAAAGCATCCTCGGGTCCCACGTGTGTGTTGCCAATGTACTGACGATGGGGGCCACCGGGTTTTGTCCCACCGATGGAAGGTCGTACCCTCCCGTGCAGTCAAGCGCCTGATCTAGGATTCCTGTGCACTTGAATGTTGCCGCCAGTCACATCCGCGGAGAAATGGTGAGGATGATGACCCTCTCCACTGCCCCACACCGGCCGGACGCTTCGTACGACTCCCTCGATCAAGGCCAGTTCGGCGCCATCTTTTCCGAGGATGGCATTACCACGGGAAATCAGCTGTCGGCAGGCCCCTCGGCTTGCACGTTTTGGTGTGCAGTTGGTGTGGGAGCACTTGTGAAGGGCAGCCCTGTTGAATCGGTGAGAGGAAGGTGTTGTGCTTGGTGGCCTACCGTTGTTCCACGTCGCGTAGGCGCATATCCTCTGCTTGGTGCCACCGTTGATAGTTGTGTGCATCTACCGGCCGATGCAATGGCAAGCTACGACGGAAGCACCCAGTCACAACATCGCCCGCGAACTGCGACACCTCCCCAATGTGTCACAAAAGGTGGCGAACTACTCCCGACTTGCGAGAGATGCACTGGATGCCTACACTGGTCCTGTGAATGCCGAGGTTGCAATGTGAGTTACACGAATAATTTCTACACGAGGGCATCCCGTACCGTGACCCGTTACAAGTCTTGTCGCATGTATCGCGTGGCACGTATCGGTTGCAGATCATGGCTCGTGCTAGCCATACGGTTTCGCCACAACAATCATTGCATGACCATAACCGTTTCAAACATATTTGGCGGTCCAGTGAATCAAAGGATTATAGAGTAACGTATGCCACCCATGATGCCATTCCCCCCGTTGTGGCATCACAAGGTTCAATTTCTCCATATCAAAGAGGTTGACAGTACTAACCGGTACGGTTTTGGCAAGGCTTACATCGAGCATTTCTAACGTCGCGCTCTGGGACATTGACACTCTCGTTACGTTGACGAGCTCCAGTGTTTGACCTCATTCCAAGGGGTACGGTATCTTGTATGGTACACGGTGGTCTTTTCCTTTCGACCCCATACCCTGCCAACCCCATCCTCGCCTCAACATGAATTCAGGGCGTGGGCGATCTTGGGTTACTTCTACGGTTTCATGGGAGACACGGTGAGCTAGATTCCGGCGGGAGGTACGGTACCCTTGGTCGGAGCAGCCCTCTTACTCGTTGATAGGCCCAATCAGTTGGCCATTCCATGATTTTTTTGTCGTCAACCACCTAAAAACATGGCAGTGGTCCAACTCCATCTGAAGGTCTTCACTCGACCCTCCCACATCCTCTCGGGGCGATGTACGTGTGTATTTCTGTGCTCCAGGCGACGTTTCAAGAGTACCTGGGGCTTGCAGACTCCTTTTTGACTGATTCCATCGAGCGAGGGTCGACGAACATCCTTCCTGCGGTGAGTATGACGTCATCACCTTCTGTTAGGCTACGGCTTTGTCTATTGTCTACAGTTCCTTTCCCTGACGGACGAAACTAGTTGTATGGGCACGATGACCGCTACTGTACCTCCACAACGAATACAGGCAAGGGAATGGTTGAATACCGGGTTTTCTGTACGCCAGTACCACCATCGTAGCAGCAGCACCCAGTGCTTTTGGTTGTCCAATCAGCAGGCCACGTACGGAATCAGTGATTATCGCGAGACTGGTCGGCCATTCGTGTTTGCCGTTGTGTTGTGTAGGCCGCGCGTGAGCGTAAGCAATGGCTATTCTTATGCTAGAAATGGGTTTCAGCCCTGATCGACGCATACATATGGGCGTCAACGGCAGCGGCTCGCAACCGTTTACACGCTCCAGGGTAGTACTTCATGATCTAACAGGATTCCCAGCTTGCGTAGGGCCGGTAGGCGTGGGGAGGCATAGCCGATGCAGCGTTTGCTGCTGGAGAACCGCGAGGGTTGATGCCATGTGTGTTCGGCACGAAGAATAGCTCGTCCCCGTCCTTGTGAACTAGGACCGAGGTTTCCGAGGGCGTGATCTGTGGCCGCACCGCTGAAAGTGGCCAGAGGTTGAGGTCGATGCAAGCGTTGGTGTTTGAGGCCCGCGCGTGCTGGCTGTAGATGTTGTTGGGGGCAGCAACGTTGCTGTGCGCACAGTAGACTGAAAGCATGACCGACATCCCGAAAGAAAGAATGCAATATTGTTTCCGTCCTGCGCCCGACGAGCACTTTCCCCTACGCGCCAAGCAACCTTTGGCGCTAGCACCTTGGATTGACGTTTCACAAGCCATCTCGGGCGAGATGATCCCGGCAGCTCGCCTAGTATGCACACCGGCGGATGGATGCGCTTCGTAGGTACGGAATCACTTCGTTGTGGAGACTGGTTCATTCAGATGTGTGCATCTCGATTTGGACACCATTTGTTTCTTCATGCCGCTCAATGCGTCCGGCTATTCCACCACACGTTTCATCGCCAAAATGAACCGGCGGTGCGGTCTGACTAATCTCGGCCGCCTTGATATTATGATGGCGTTTGTCCAACGGCCTATATCTTGCTTACCTGATGAAGCCTCGTACACACTCGTACATCTCGGCCAGGGATTCGCCGAGATAATCCGTCTCGAGCAGACCGTCAAGGTGTACACGGGACATCTCGACGCTGCGTACATCGACTTTTTGGGCTCCCGACGTGGGGATCCTCCGCAGGTGTGTCTTGATGAGCTCGCAGTCAGGGATGGTACCCCCCGCCTCTCGGCGATGGACGGGCATGAGCTCCTCGCAGTACAGAGGATTGCGCGGTAAAGCCATCGAAACACCTACCTCGAAAGAGCCGACGCAAGCACGATAACGTCACCAAGCGCTGCAGGTACTTCATCTCGACGAACACGGAAGAAGAGGCACGCCAGGTTTTGTGCAACGTGCGCACACGGTACGTTTTGTTGCATCAGCGACGTTGGGGGCCTGGATTTTTCACACTATCCAATATCGTCTACGGCAAACACGTGTAGAAGGCAATGGTAGGCAGTCGACAAACGACATCAGCGCGTACGCTTAGGTCGACATGAGCGCGCGACCGCACTACATGTAACCAAGACATTAGGAGACATGGTATTTTTTTGGTGTCCCAAAATGTATGTCGAGGTTCGCCCAAATCCTAGGTTCGGCGACTGACTGTTCTTTCTCTATTGGTGTCTCTGCACTAACTAACCTGTTTGCGTCAACTGTTTTTGTGGAGTAGGATTTGGGAGAGTGCTCAAGACGGCGTATTGGGTGATGAACGGTCAGAATGATGTGCTGTCAAGACAGCAACGGTACAAACGGTAACACGTTGAACCATAAGCAGGAGTTACTCTACACGCCTGGTGCAACGCTGCGTACACCTCAAGGCGATGTGCTCTTGGCACCATGCCTCTCTCACTGGCGAGAACTTGACGTAGTTCAATCCAACTTGGAAGGAGTCAGAGGTTTTAGTGGTACTGTACGATCGTGTATGAATGCGAGACCTGCCCTCCACCGTCTCTACCTGCTCCTTGTGATGCAGGTCAACCCAGCTGCAAACGAAGGGGATCTATTTCGTTATTTTTCCCAGTCGCTTAACGCGTTCGAGGAACTTGTCTTCGAGAAAGCTTGCGAGAAGAGTTCGATTCGCCGTCATTTGAGCGATGACGAGCCTTGGGAGGAAGACAGAGGCGGTGGTAGCCCTCATGGCGCTGCCCCCCAGGCGGAAGATGTCTCTGATGCTATGGTGATGGGGCTCCAAGATGGCCTGATCGACTTCGAACACCTACAAGAAACAGTTGATCGGTGAGCAAATTTCAAGTTCCCTTCAAGGATAGTTTTCAAGTACATGCGACGTGTGTATTCAACAGGGGGTTCAATAAAAGGGCATGTGAGATCGTAGAACATGTGTAGAACCTTCAAGGTGTCTCATTCTCTGAACAGTGCCGGGTGCCCGGTTAGCGCGGATAGCCCTCGGCGGGCAAATACCTTCATTATGGCGAGCCCCCTACGGCATCCCTGATGACGTAGAACCGTGTTTTCTACAACTCCTCTGTTGGGCGATCCGTCAATCCGCACTATGATCATGTCAGCATGGAGTTTAAGCAGGCCTACACGAACCCGTCTCCCGATGTTTCCCTTTTCCCCTCATGACCGGCTTTCACCTGGATGATGAGCAGATCAAACATTCGCAAGGGCATCGGCGGCCTTCTCATTAACATGTGAGTAAACGTGAGAAGACGGTCCCGCTTGTGGGGAAAACGCGCACGTATGCTTTGGTCTTTGCGTGCGATTCCTGGGGCTCCGTAGGCTCTTATGAGTACCTCCCTTTTTGCACAATCACACGAATGGTTCTAGGCTGTGGAGAAGGTGTATGATATTCCAATGACGACTCACGTTGTGCTGAACGTGTTTTCTCCATCTCTGCAATGACTAATTCCGAATCTGGCAGGTACCTGGCATTTCAAAAGGCAGGGAAAGGCGACGCGGGTGGGGCGTTGGAGAGGTTAGGGCATTGCGTCGAGGCATTTGAGCGGTACCCTGGCGTGTGTCGCTGCATGATGCTATGGTGAGCCAATCGTATGAACATCACCAAACATGACATTTAACCTCTGCCTGCGATCGGTGGCCGTGGCAAGGTCTAAGTAAGCTGCGCCGTGAATCTGTATGCCAAGAAGAATGCTCCTGAAACAGTCAGTATTGTTCTTCAATGTGAAGATTTGGTGCTGCATGTTCCTGCCACGACAATCGTCCTGCCTCTACAGAAGCGACCATAGATGTATCTGGCGTTCTTGGTACAGGTGTCGTCTACTGAGACTATATGCGATACGACATTAGAGTCATCTTCCTGTCTTTCTGCCGCCCTCGTACCTCCCGCCATGTAAAGGTGTCACGCTTCGCACTCTATCTTGGGAGCCCTAGCAGCAATTAAGAGTTCCAGAGCTCGGGAACTCTACAACCGGCTGCGGGATGTCTACAATCCTTCTCGCCCCGCTTCCTTCCTGCCAGCACCACCTTTGGAAGAGTGGCATGGGACGTCTTCGTTCTGCGATGATTTCCAGTGCAGGTACGTGGGGGGTTGATGTCTTGCCATGGCACATGCAGAACGGTTTGTTCAGCATTTCCCCGACACGAAAACATTTTTAGGCGATAGCATAGTTCATATCTCTGATTTGTATTATCAACCTAGACACCCTATTTCCTGCGCCAACATTGAACGATGGTATTTGGTTTTGTTATGCCTGTTCGCCTTCGATCAACTTTATCTGTTGATTTTTTTGGAAGTGCACATATTCTGATGGCAAGGACAGCTTTCGGGAGTGTATGCTAGGTGCCTGTAAGCACTCAGAAGCCATGGTCTACGACGCCTGTAGTCAACCTTAATATCCTAAACGTTTGTTGTGCAAGTAGTGCAACGTCGTTATTGATGCCGAAGTGACAATGTTTGACGTCTGATCAGTTCCTCCTCGTTCCTCCTCCCCTTAGAATGCGGCGAAATGAGCGCCCGTGTTTAAAACCTAGATCCGAAAGTGAGGAACAGACAGAAGCAAAAATGGGGCACCCAGAGGGGCGAGAGGCCTACTATGCACGACGAGACACTTGAAAACACAAGCTGAGCAGGGTACGAGCCACAATAAATAGATCAATACAAAGGAGCCTTCCAGAAGCTACGCACTAAGGATAACGGAGTCGTAACACTAAGAATAGCGGAGTGGTAACCATTTTCGACGACACGTTTTTCGATCAAGCTGTGGCGAAACGTGTGCTCGAGCGCTGGGCGAGGACCTCGGCCTGGCCCTCCGTTTCAAAAGCAACCCATTTTTTGACACAATATTCAAACCTCGCCCGTGCTGGCGCCTACTGGATCACCAATGCGTTGTTTGCAGGTGCTTTGAGGGTATCATCGCGAGTCGAGCTCGGAACCTTTTCCCCGCCCCATCCGACTGCACTAGCAACAATACCGACCAGCAGCAAACTAATTGCACGGAGGACTATCTGGAGGTTGTCGACGAGGAACATGATGGCAGTATCATATCAGCGGGTGTCATTCCTGAGAAGGCGATCGGCTCGATCATGGATGCGCCTTGCAGCAACGGAGACAAACCAATGGCATCTACTAGCTTGTGGGAATTGAACCAAGAGCCTGCACCACAAATGGGTCCACCTGTCGGACCGAGCTTGTCCACTTCACATGTCCACTGCTGTGGGCCGGACACGGGAGGAGGAAGTGGTACTGACATTTACAGCGGTGCGGTCGAGGGGTGTGGTGGTGGAGTGCTTGCCGGCTTGGTGGCCCCAGTTCCCGATATGTCCTTGAGATTGCCGGAGTTGACACAGGTAGATGGGGTCCCAGAGGAGACAGGCGATGATACAATTGCCGCAGCAGACTGGCTAGATGTTACTCATGCTATGTTGGGAGCATTTGACCAAATTGACCCGGCGCTGTAATGTTTACGCTTTTAGGTCAGGTTGTCGCTGTTGAATCTGTGTGCGAAGAGGCATTTTCTACACCCACAATTACACTAAGCCCCATTGGTGTGACAGCGTACACATGAGACCTATTGTTTGTCACCTGATGATAAAAGGGTAGCCGTCCCTGGCGGTGGATTTTTCCGAAACAGCTGTGCACTGCAGCTCTTTGCGAGAACCGATCAATCAGAGATGGGACCGAAAGAGTGTGTGGAGTGTGTTTGGGAATGTGCAAGGGTTGTTCTCGTGAATAGGTCCATGTATGCTAGAAGCGCTTCATGGTTGTCTTTGAAGAATCTCAGAAAGATGGAAAGCGCCCGAATCATCCAGGGAGATTATGTAGCACCTTTTGTGACACAGCGGTGATGTCTGGGACAAAAAGTGCGCCGGCCTCGCGAGCGTCCTGGTTGGGAGCATGTCACGGCAATCGAGAGAACTGCTGTCCCCGTCCGTATATGCGCAGAGCGTCCGCCCACTCGGTGTTTTGTGCAGCTGAGGGCGCCGCCGCACGAGCCCAATCGACATCTTCTCGGGGGAGATGAGGACAGACGGAGAGACCGACCATAGACTTGGGCTGGCGGCGGTCCACTAGGTGTTGGTTCCAAGCGTCCGCGTCCATCTACACTGGCGGCCAGAGGAAGGTTGTGGGTATAGGTTGGGGCACCGACTACAGCCTGGGGGGTGGGGGCACCGACTACAACCTGGGCGGGGGGGGGGGTTGCAGGGAGGTTACAGCCCAAAGTGTGAATGTTATCCGGCATCTCGGATAGTGTTGTTTTTCCAACACGCAATAGCGACTTTCTTTGTAGAGCTTTTCCCCTCTCTCGGCAGGCTCGGGGTTGGCACACGATGTTTGCACCGGGGTCCAAGGCGAACGCCGAGACGATGCCAACATCCGGGACGGGACGAAGTTGTCAGTGCAGCGTGTTTGGTGCAGGCCGGCGGGATATGGCCTTTGGCGTTTATTTACATCTCGCAGCGTGTAACCGTATGCACAGAAATTTGAAGTGCTGAAAACTGAGAAGCTGAGAAGGGAATGAAGGGAAGAAGGGAATGTTGGTTGGGTTTGGTTCCCAATCTGAACCTTGGTTCGGTGCATTGCTGCATTGGTGATTGGTGATTGGTGCGTTGTGACAACATGACGTCATGACGTCGACGTAAGCATATTTGGCCGAAAAAAACCCGCAACTTTGGCCGCAACTTTTGGAGGCGGGTGAGGGAACCTCGCTCAGGACGCAACACGCGACGTGCTCTCGTGCGTACCGAGGAAGGCATCGGCATATGATCATACAGATACAGGACGGCTTCTGTCCTGAAGTTTCGCAGTACAACTGGCGGAGGTCGTACGTCCTGCTGCTGTACAAACGTGTGACATGAGCATTTATTTGTTCTGATCGGCACCGCTGAACCGCCACGCTCTCTGTTGAACACCATCGGCATATTCGACGTCCCGCCTTTGGCCGTCTTCTGCACCTTCACCGAAGGGATTCGCCCCGTTGTCTCCAGCCCTACCTCAGGTTTGTCCATGCGTCTGCTTCTTTGATAGACATAAACTTTCTGTGCAACATGCTGCTGTACTCTGGACTACACGCTAGCAACACGACAGTTGAACTTCGCAGGCTGCCGTGCAGGACCTCCTTCATGGGTTGGAAAAGGCTCGCATATCTCTTCTTGCTTCGTCATCTCCCAGCAGTACATTGCTGTACTAGGGATATGTGCATTCTCGACGGGGCATACCCTGCAGCGTCGTCCGAAGATGCCGTATAGTGCGTACGAGTGGGTACCGTGATCCATCGATGGCACAGACAGCCATTTTAAAACTTGCTACGCGTCCGTTGCAACGTCGTGACAGAGCCGTCACTTACCCTGCACAAGAGAAAACCTCAACGCTTTAACCATGCACGCAGGAAACGGGAAACGAGGTAGAGACTTCTACCATGGATTTCAGTTACCGGAACGAGGGGAACGTGGTTACGAACAACCTTGGGATGCGTAGGAGCTGCTGTGAATGCGGGCGAAAGAAGAGGAAGTGCGACGGCCTGGCGCCTTGCAGGTGTGGTATGAATAGTTATACATCTGTGTTGGCTGGTCGTTAGCGGTGGAGGCTGTTCGGGTGTTCTTTTCCCTTCTGTTTCCAGGCGACTGTTCTACTTGAGTCGTTCATGTTCTTTGAAGCAGCTGTATCAACATTTTTTTCTTTCTAGCACAGCTGTAGCGGGTAGAACAGCGAAGAACACCTTGCTTGGTCACAGCTATCCGTATACAGCAGCTTCGAAAACGCACGTCTGCTACTCCGTGGTTGCGCTTTTGCTGCACGCTGGAGAAACACAACAAAAAACGCCCGCTCGCGCGAAAGGCCTGAACCGCTGCGTAAAGCGGGTAGGCCATTCAAGTATTGTCGCAATCTATCGGGTGGGACGCCGTTGTGGCTCGAGTCGCTTCTTCTGTCGGTACCATTTGCCCTCTCTTCAACTCAGAACAACACCCACCGGCTGTTGGTTGGTTTTCTCTTTTCTGCTGCCATCGCCTCCCACGTTTGTGCCGCTGTGCTGCTGCTGTGCTTTTGTATACAGCTGCTGATCTGTTCTTGGCTGTTCATATTGCATTGCTACACCTCCTCCCTGGCTCTCACCCTTCGTGAGGCACAGTCAAACAAACGCTGTGTGTGGTCCTACGACCCACAGCAGCACAGCTTGCACAAAGTCGGAACGTGAGACCGAACATAGAACGACGTTGTATGAACGTAGAACATATAGTTACGATAAATAGGTCTGCACCCCGGTCGCTGCGGACGTGAGTTCGTGAGTTCGTTTCGAAATATTCCGTTCATCTGTCTGTTTTTGATTTGGTTTGTTTCCCCACCGTCGGTGGTGGGTCTTCCACACTTTCTATTATTTTACCAAACGACCCATGGGACTCCCATGGGTCACCCATGGGTCACCCATGGGGCGCCCATGGGCACCCCTTTTTAGGCCCATGGGTAGCCCGTGGGCAGCCCATGGGCGGCCTATGGACAACCCACGGGAATCCCATGAGAGCCCTTGAACCGAACCAGTTTACTCCTAGAAAATAGATTATCTGCTTTGGAACGGGCACTATAACGATTAACAACCCAACGCTAACCCTAACCCTAACCCCAAGCCCACGCGATACAAGCTAGGTTGTCGCTGGTGGCTAAGCTCTAGGTTGATGTGAAGGTGGCTAAGTTCTAGATTGAAGTGCCCACGATGGGCACTTCACGGGCCGCCCATGGGCATGCCCATAGGTCACCCATGGGTGTTCCATGGGCGGTTTAGCAAAACTGTCAGTAGCGTGGGAGATTGTCGGTTGTGGTGGGTGCAAATAGGTACGCGTACAGTATTATGTACTGCGTGATGGTTTGGCTGTGTGTGCTTACGTGTATCCTTCTTTCTTGGAATGTTTGAAAAACACGCACACGCGCGCTGCTCATGTCTGAATTCATTCGATCCGTCCCACCTTCACATACGTCCATCCGTGTACAGAGTATGTACGTAAGTTTGCTTCTTTTGGATGCACGGTCACTGCCCTACAACATTCTGTTTGAATGCTAAACGCGCGAATACACCGCCTCTTCTCCGCCCGCCTGTGACGAGGGTGTGTGTGTGCGTTTCCTAGGCGACAATACGGCTCTCATGAATTTCAAGTCGTTTGCCGGCCTGGAATCCGCGGCGGTAGGAGACGCAGCATCAGAAAAAGGCAAACGCGGAGTGCGAAAGGAACGAACAGTGCGTACTCTACAATCCATATCTGTCCTCTTTGCATGTTCTTGCATCACACCCTGCCGCGGTGCTCTCTTTACCCCACTCCGGACGCCATGTATGCAGTATTGACATGAGCCATCTTGCTGTTGAAGTCCGATGCTCCCCCTTTACTCCTTTTGGGATTCAAGAAAATTGATCGATTTCGGAAACAATCGATATTGGCCTATGTATGTACAGCTATCGCCCACGAGATACACCAGCCTTGTACCTGTTGGAACCTGCCAACTGTGGTCTCAGTTTCTACGGTGGTAGAAGTATTATAATCTACTGAAGTCCAGAGTACAATTCAATACAGCAGTGGCATATGCCGAGCCCAAAACCGAAAACAGTCTGCCGGCGGGCGAATTCCTGACCTGGTCAAATATTCCAGAACGGCATCATGGAGCAGCGGGGCGCGCGTTGGCGCGGCCAGATCTGCTGTTAGGACCGCGCTATCGAAGGCTGAAGCCGCGGTTAGAAACGTCCGCAAATCTTATTTCCTACCATTCGTGTTTCACTGATGTAGGTGCCGTCACAGAATCAACTCCCCGGGTGCCGCTGCCGCATGATATCCTCCCCTGGAATACGCGCTACGATGGGGGCTCCGCACCGCAATTGTCTGATTTGAGCACCCGCCGTGTGGCCTGATTTGTCTTGAGTTTCGAGCTGTGGAATTTATTGTCTTGGCTTGACAAGGAAGGTGTGTGGAGGTAGACTACGTGGTGTCCGCTGGCCTGGTTGGCAACTGCCGGATGTTCTGTTGCGCAACACTTGCCCCCTTGTCTCACATGTCTTGTGTGTGATTGCTGGGTACTTCCTCGGTCGCGTTCGAAATCAGTGAAATCGAGATCGGTTGGCAAGAGCCACGTAACCCTCCTAGGACTGGAAGCCCAATGGGGACACTTTGGGGACACAACACTCAAACTGCCCATTTTCCACACCGTAGTCATCCTAGGCTCCGCGGGGTGAAACGCACGTGAGAACGCTTTGTCCATCATGCTTTGCTGAGGTGGTACGCTGTAGGATATGCTCTCCTCGCCTCTGACTTGCTTCACACCATCTCCCACGCCGCGTGTCCCCTACTATAGGTCGTAAAGCTGTACGTCGCCTGGTACTGGAAACATTTGCTGACTTGGCTTCAGGATAAAAAGTGCCCCCACGACCAACATTTTTGCGACTTTTGTTTTTCGCGGAGGGACTGGGTACTACTGTAGGAGGGTTAAACCTTGGGCTCGGAACAATCCGTTTTCTTGTTGGACAAGACCAGCGGTTGGGGGGCGAGTTCCACCCGTATCGCACTATCCATCTTCACACACACCCTCTCAAACCACGGCCAAACACCCACTATTAATATCTAAATTTCAACCATACAGTCTAGTAGGTGGTGACCAAGGGTGTGCGCACAAGATATTTCAAGACGCGTACGCCCACTGGAGTTGTATGGGCAGATGGTTGGACGATGGTATAGATATTGGCTTGTTTGCAGCACTGCCAAAGAGCTGCACCCCGCTTGTGAATAGAGTTCGTGGTTGTAGATGTATGCAACAGACTAACAAAAAAGGGAGAAGCCAAGGGTGCCCGAAAATGTTGCTCCATACACGCTAGCTATGGACTAGAGACTCCCCCCGGGAGGGCCTAGTTTCGTTTGTTTTTCTATTTTTCCCGATGTTTTTTTTTTTTCATCGTATGTTTGCATTCAATAGTGCACGCGTTAAACCTATTTTTCCTGTTGCACACAGACGAAACACAGTGAACTAGAATGCCTGCGCTGAGAACGTGTTACTGATGGAGAAACCACACGACAATCATCCAAATCATGCACACCACACCCATCCTCGAATCAATTTTCAGTGAAATTATAGCCCGGAGTAGCAACGCGCCTCTGCGTGCGAGTGAACGAAGAACCCTTATGCTCGACGGAAACCGCGGAATATATGTCATCTAGGAGGAGCTCGCAGTTAGCTGAGATGAGAGTGTTATGAACATTCTTTCGCCTACCGTTCGTTCCGCCTACAGCTTTCCGACATTCTCTCTCGCACGCGAAACCACGCCAACCAATCCGCCGGTTCTGGGTGTTCCCCCGATCGTACGTCCGGTCCCTCTTGCTTCTTCTCTCCCCCTCCTGCTCTTGATACCTTTCCCCTTGTCTTCTGCCCCGTTGCACCCTCCCTCCCTTTTTCTCACCGCCCTGTCCCCCTCTTCGCTGAACTCCGAGTCTATTCTTCTGAACGAGAACATAATTGGGTATAGCCTTGCGCTGCAATGACCTGGGCTAGGCCTACAGGGTGCTCTGACCACAATCTCCCTCTCGTCGTCTGTATGTAGGTGCGGTACCCCGTACAGCGCACAGTCGCGGCGAGCGCGAACGCGTGCACATGGCTGTAGGGGGCACGCAGATGCACAAAAAAAGAACAAGACACGTTGCCCTTTTTAAATCTGGATTGGTATGGTAGGGATTTTTGTCAAGTATACATTTTTATTTTTCTTAATATGACACAAAGAATCCATCTCTATCATAGAAAAAGAGTCTGAGACAGATTAGCAATGAATCCATCTCTATCATAGAAAAGAGTCTGAGACAGATTAGCAATGAATTCATAGCGTCAGAAAGTACTTGTATATTGTTTTGCGTTTCGGCGGGGGGTGGTCACCTCGTACCCTCCCTCCCCCCTTAAACGTTCCCCCAAATAAGAAAAGTGCACCTAGGTGTGCAATGTACCATGTAAGTTTCGGGCACTCTTGGGAAAGGCTGATCCTTTGTCAGTTTTCCACGCGCTATCAGACAAAACGAAAAACGCCGAGGCGGTGGCGTATCTAGACAGGTATCACCGTTTTTTTTTAACGTTTTCGGTGAGGAGGCTGCTTCGCTAAGTTTGTCGTAAGGGAGAGAGGTGGCGTACTCCCCGTGACCCCCAGCGTTGTCTTCGAAAGCTTTTCGTTGATGAATACCCCGATAAAACTTATGGAGCATCCTGCTCATCATCTTCCGCAAGTCGCCCGTCTGGCCGCGGGCTATCAGAGAAACATGGCTCGTACGTGCTTGCTTGCGCTAACTTGCGCACACACCATCCGCGCACACCATTTCGGGAACAAGTCCGTTGTAGGCTGCGAGCAGCGTTCATCGCAACCAAACTACTCTTATACACAGGAAAAGAAATACCCATAAACGACTTCGTTACAAGACCTGCTGGAATGTGGGGAGGTCTGCTTAGTGTAGCCCGGTGTCCGTCAAAGGTACTCTTGAGGTAGCGTTGTCAAAATGTTCAAAAATGCGAACGAAAATACTCTCTTTCTGTAGGTGTACGCTTGGATATCGTATCAATGTTTATCGTGCCTAGCTCTTTGCTCCCACCTAGAAACAGGTTCATCGTCAGGTAACCGGTTACCGCGTGGTGTATCGCCGCGTTAATCAACAGAACACGAACGTCGGAAGGTCGCAATGCTCGCTGAACGGCTCCTATTTTTTCTGTGATTCATGGAAACGTTTCACACCCTGCACAACTATAGCTGATTACTAACTGAGTTTGTTGTGCAACGGTTCAACTACCCGTAGTTGAGCGGAATCAACTAGTTGGACAAGACTCTGGGACTTGAGTTGATTGGAATCAACAAGTTGGACGAAATTCTGAGACTTTGGTTGAATGGAATCAACTCTTTGCACAACAGTCCTAGATTTTAGTTGATTGGCCGCACAAATACAACTATCTCAGTTGTACACGGTGTAAAACGTTTCAGAGGTTCGAAATTCCTCCCCCAGAGGTCGCAGGTGCGGCTTACGTCTCCGAAAATTTCGCTCGCGCACAACCTTCGCTGAAGATCGTTTTCGATATGTTCGCCCTTTAACTCATAGCCGGTGCCTAGGATCTGGGGTGCAATGCACGTACAGCAAGCGGAAGCCGCATCTTCCTCAGCCTCAGCACCTGCACCAACACAATCCACGTGATCCTGCTGGCATTATGTCAGCGGAGTTTCTACAACGCCACTCGTCATCTGGGGAACTCGTGGCCTTCGGTATGCTGCCTTTGAAGAGGTCAGTCGTCTTTACTAGCCGCTGTGGTTTGTTTCGACTACGACGGAAATGCAACAGGTCAGCTTTAGCTAGAGTCACAGAAATTGTGCGTACGCCATGGCATCCGAGCCTCACAGTATCTTTGTCCAGGAAACGCGGTTGCAGGAAAGACGACAACGAATCCGGGCTGAAATTGCTGCCCATTGGCATTGATCGGCGTATGCCACACTACAGATTGAGCTTCACCGTCGCGCAGCACCCCCAAACACATCTTAGACGTGGGGTACATTGAAGCCACATGTAGGGGCTGAAGGAGTGCTCTCGACGTTGAAGAGCCCCTGAAGTGTTGCGTGTCATCTACAGAGCGAAAGCGTTTTGCACGAGCTTACTACGTCCAAACGCGCGTCTACCAGGTTCAGGTTAAGTGCATCTCCGGCGACTGGTCTCGTGGGCATGCGAGAGAACGCATTCCTCAGTGATTTCTTCGGCTGCGTGGGCTTCTATCCGCTCACCACCCAAAGGTGCCTGTACTGTGTTGATGGTGTTTACTACAGGCGGAGTAGCTTGACCCCACCGCCGCCAAAAGTATCTCATCGTGTCCCGTGCGTATGTTGTTATCGTATTGTCGAGGGAGGGCATCGATCCTTCCGAGCGATGGAAGCTTGTACCCTCCCGTACAGTCAATCGACTGATCTAGGATTGCTGTGCGCTTGAATGTTGCCGCAAGTCAAATCCGCGGAGCGATGGTGAGGATGATGGCTCACTCCGCTGCCCGACACCAGCCGGGCGCTTCGAACGACTCCCCCGATCAAGGCCAGTTCGGCGCCCTCTTCACCGATGATGGTATCACCACGGGAAATCACCTATCGACGGGCCCCTCGGCTTGCACATTTTGGTGTGCAGTTGGTGTGGGGGCTCTTGTGAAGGGAAGCCCTGTGGAGTCGGTGAGGGAGTGCGGTATTTTTCTTTGCCTGCCTTGTACGAGGAGGACCACCGTTGTTCCTCGTCACATTGAAGGTGCTCACCCTTGCAGAGTGCCACCGCTGATTGCTGCGTGCAGCTACCGACCGATGCAATTTCGAGCTACGACAAAAGTAGTTGAAACCCCTCCCGCGAATTGCAACACCTCCCCACTGTCACAATAGGTCGCGAATTACTCCCGACTTGCGAGAGATGCACTGGACGCCTACTCTGGTCCTGTGGATGCCGAGGTGGCTACGTGAGTGACATGGACTTTTTGCACCAGGAGGGCGCTCAGCACCGTGACCCGAGCGTAATTTTGTCGTATATATTGCGTGGCACGGAGCTGTCTCAGGTAATGGTTCGTTCGAGCCATGCTCTTTGGCCATGTACATCATCGTGCTGTCCAGTGCACCAAGGCTTAGTAGTACTGTATGCTCCACCCGGCACCACCCCCCCGCCCGGTGTTCGCCATCGGGGTCGGGTTTCCGTCGCTTGGCAACGACGTTGTATGACAAGCGATCACTTCGTGAGCTCGGCAATCAGGTTTCTGCTTTGTTTTTACCTTCTCTTTTTTTTTGCGGTAACCATGGTGGTCTAGTAGATTATTTTGTGCGGGGTCGAGAACCCTCACTTCGCGCTAAGGGGATGATCGCACCACGTTGGTTTACATTGGCCAAGCACCCTCGAGGTAGTTACACAGTGCTTACAACTTTCTCTGGAAGTAAAATTACCTAAGACAGCTGCCATCCGTACGCAAGAAAGTAAGCAAAAGATGCCGAACATCCTTAGCAGGATGAGCGCACCCTCCACGCGACTCGCCGAATACCTCACGGAGATTCGCGCTTGGTAACACGAGAGCCTGGTCCGGTGAGAACCCGGCGTGCTCCGCCTCGGCTTTGTACGGATGCGAGGTCAATGGTTTAACGACTACGGAATGCACGACGATGAGTACACCCCCCCCCCCTGCCGGAATCGCAACGTTCAAGTTCTCCACATCAATGAGTTTGACGACACCGAATGATGCGGTTTCGGCAAGGCTCACGTTTTGCATTTTTTTCTACGCGCTCTCGGGCGTTGACGCCCTCGTTATTTTGACGATGTCCAGTGTTTAGCGTTAATCCAAGGGGTACGGTATCTTGTATGGTACGTGGTAGTCCTTCCCGTTCGACTCCTTACCCTGCCAACCCCGTCCTCGCCTCAACATGAATTCAGGGCGTGGGCGATCTTGGGTTACTTCTACGGTTTCATGGGAGACACGGTGAGCTAGATTCCGGCTGGAGGTACGGTACCCTTGGTCGGAGCAGCCCTCTTACTCGTTGATAGGCCCGATCAGTTGGTCATTCCATGATTTTTTTGTCGTCGACCACCTAAAAACATGGCAGTGGTCCAACTCCATCTGAAGGTCTTCACTCGACCCTCCCACATCCTCTCGGGGCGATGTATGTGTGTATTCCTGTGCCTAAGGGGATGTTTCAAGAGTACCTGGGGCTTGCGGACTCCTTTTTGACTGATTCCATCGAGCGAGGGTCAACTGACATCCTCCCTGCGGTGAGTATGACGTATTGCCTGTTGCTGGGCTACAGCATTGTGTAATGCCGGTCGCCCAGGTGGTCTAGTTGGTAGCCTCGTAACCTTCTAGAGGTCAGGTCAGGGGTTCGAATCCCGGCGTAGGCGAGCTTTTCTTGCAAAGTGAGTTTTTCTCTCGCTTCCGCTCCTGGCCAAGTGGATAGCGCTAGTTCGTGTGTACACAGAGGGAAGAGAGTGCTGAACTCTTCTCGCATTAAAAATTGAAGGCGAAGTACCGCAGGAGGGGAGGGTAGAGAGAGGCTCTTCTGTGTGACAACGGGTTGGAATAACCGGTACTAGTGCTGTGAGCGCTGATTTGAAGTGAAGAACAACAAAAAAAAAAAATGTCCAGAGCTCCTTTCTCTGACGGACGCAACTAGTTGTATGATTACGATGACCGCTTCTTTACCTCCACAAAGAATACAGGCAAGGGAATGGTTGAATCCCGATTTTTCTGTACGCCAGTATAGACACCGCCAACGTAGCAGCAGCACCGAAGTGCCTTTGGCTGGCCAATCCAACGGCTACGGAAGCATTGAGTATGGTGGACTGGTTGGCCATTTGTGTTTGCTGTTGAATGGTGTAGGCGGCGCCCGAGCGCAAACACTGGCTATGCTTCTCGCAGCAGCAGGATTTCAGCCCTGATCGAGGCATACATATGGGTGTCAACGGCAGCTGCTTCCAAAAGTTCACGAGCTTCATGATAGCACCTCACGATTCAACAGGAGTCGATAATCCCATCCACTCACGGCTGGTGGGGTGGGGTGTAATTGTGAGGTGGAGACGTGCTGGCTGAAGGTAAATGTTGTTTGGGGCAGGAACGTTGCTGTGCGTACAGCAGACCGCAAGCATGGCCGACTTTTCGAAAATAATTTCCTGCCATCCGCGTTCATTAAGCACTTTCCCGTCAAGCCACCTCTAACACACGCCGTTTGTTGACGTTTGCAAGCCCAACTCGTGCGGTATCATCCCGGCAGCTCGCCTAGTATTCCCCAGAGGGTGGATGGATTCGCTTAGTAGCTGCGGAACCGCTTCCTTACGGAGACAGGTTCAATCAAATGTGTGAATTCTTGATGGGGGTGCCAGCGTATGTTCTTGATGCCACTCATCCCGTCCGACGTTTCGCTCATCGCCAGAGTGACGCTGCGGTTGTAGTCCACCGTCTGCTGTCTTTCTACCACGAAGTGAAGCACTGTTTCGGTATAATAACATGCTCGTCCGACTGTCAATATTTGTTGAAGTTGTTCTTACCTGCTGAACCCTCGCACACCCTCATGCATCTCGGCCAGGGATTTGCCGAGATAGTCCATCACAAGCAGACCGTCAAGGCGTACTCGGGAAATCTAGACCCTGCGCACGACGACTCTTTGGCCGCCCGACGTCAACATCTTCCTGAGGTATGTCCCGTACCACACATGTGGAAATGATTGGCCCAGACGGCGCTCTCAGCTCGCAGTCAGGGATAGTACCCCCCGCCTCTCCGCGATGGAAGGTCATGGGCTCCTCGAAGTACCCTAATACGGAATCGCGCAGTAAAGCCACCGAAACACTATGGTACCTCGAAAGAGCCGAGGAAAGCTCGATAAAGTCACCAAGCACGGTAGGTACGTAATCTCGACAAAGACGTCGAAATGAACTCCAGGCTATGGGTAACGTGCGTACACAGTACGTTTGGTTGCATCAGCGACGTTGGGGGCCCTGAGTTGTCACACTATCTCATATCGTCGACGGCAAACACATGTAGGAGACTACAGTAGGCATTCGACAAACGACATCAGTGTTAACGCTCAGATTGATATGGGCGCACGACCGCACCAGCCAAGACATTGAGCGTCATGGCATTGCGTTGGTGTATCGTAGCGCTCCCAACATTTTCGTTGACGTTTGCCCAGAATCTAAGTTTGAGCCACCGACTATTCTTTCCTTGGGTGTGTCTGCACTGACCTGTTTGCGTCAAGTGTTGTTGTTGTGGATGTGGACTTGGAGAGTGCTCAAGACGACGTGTTGGGTGATGGACGGTCAGAATGATAATTTATGGCAAAACAGTAACAATAAAAGCGGCAGCAAGTTCAACCGAAAGAAGCAGTTACCTTATACGCTTCGTGCAACGCTGTGTACAGCGCAAGACGATGTGCGCTTGGCACCATGCCTACCTCGTTGGCGACACCTTGACGTATTTCACTCCGACTTCGAGCGAGTAAGAGGTTTTGGTAGTGCTTTACGATCGTGTATGGATACGTGACCTGCCCTCCATCCTCTCCACCTGCTCCTTGTGATCCAGGTCAACCCAGCTGCGAACGAAGGAGACCTATTTCGCTATTTTTCCCAGTCGCAAACCGCATTCGAGGAACTTGTCTTCGAGAAAGCTTGCGAGAAGAGTGCGGCCCGCCGTCATTTGAGCGCTGACGAGCCTTGCGAGGAAGGCAGATGCGATGCTAATCCGCACGGCAACGTCCCACAGGTGGAAGAGGTGTCTGATGCCATGGTGATTGCACTCAAAGCTGGCCTACTCGACTTCGAACACCTACAAGAAGCAGTCGATCGGTGAGTCAATTTCAACTTTTTTTCGGATGGTTTTCGAGTGACATGCGACATGTGTATTCAGCAGGGGGTTCACTATAAGGGCCAGTGGAATAGTGTCACTGCCGGGTATACGACCAGTGAAGTCGTAGAACTGTTATGGAACCTTCAAGTTCTCCCATGCTGTGAACGGCGCGCGGTGCCCGGTATAGTGCCGATAGCCATAGCAGGCACATACCGACACTATACCGAGCCCCCTACGGTGTCGCTGATGACGTAGAACCTTGCTTTCTGCAGCCCCTCTGCTGGGCGATCCCTCTCTCCCTATGATCGGAGCTGCTGCAAGCTTACATAGACGCTTCTCGTGATGGTTCCCTTTTTCCCTCATGGCCGGCTTTCATCTGGTTATCGAGCAGACCAAACATTCGCAAGGGCATCGGCGGCCTCCTCATCAACGTGTGAGTAACCCTGACAACATTCTCCCGACTGTAAGAAAATACGCACGTTTGCTGTGGTCTTTGCGAGCGATTCCTGAGGCTCCGTAGGCTCTTGAGTACTTCCCATTTTGCACAGTCACACGAATGATTCTAGGCTGCGCACGTGGTGTATGAGATTCCAATGATGACTCTCATCGTGCACGACGTGTTTTCTCCGTCTGGACAATAACCTGTTCCGTACCTGGCAGGAACTTGGCATTTCAAAAAGCAACGAACGGGGACACTGGTGGGGCGTTGGAGAGGTTCGGGCATTGCGTCGAGGTATTCGAGCGGTACCCTGGCGTGTGTCGCTGCATGATACTGTGGTGAGCCAACCGTATGAACATCACCAAAGATGGAAATGATGCCATGGCTGCAATCGGTGGCCATGGCGAGTTCTCGCACAAGCGAAGCGTTGAGGCTATTCCGTTCGACACGATTTTTGCTTACGGCTACGCCCAGCTCCTCACACAACAAAACAGAGTTGTAAAACCAATGACGTTTCGCAACGAACAGAACAAATCTCGGACTCAGCATAAAGGATTTGTGCAATTGCAGTTTAATGTGGAGGAAACACAACATATTTTTAACTGACAATTGGGGCCGTAGATGGAAGAACCAACCTCTGCCCAATTCCAAGCAGGTTGATTCGCGTTCAATCCGATTGTCCGTTTCTTCGTCGGGATACACATGTGAAGAACGGCGGCTACGAGTCAACGTACCCAAACGATCAGGTAGTTTAGGGCATTTTCGGGCCGCTGGGTACATCTGCAAACAGTTCACAAGAACACCTCTAGAGTCGTTTCTGCTTGCCTGCTGGTGCTCTGCCACGCACACAAGTCATTAGTAGTCAGTAGGCTTGGAAATTTGGAGAAGTGTGGTTTATTGTTGCGCGCTGCAGCTGTCCGCAACCTAAGAACACTGTTGTGCTTCTTCACCAATATTTTCTAAGACAGGTTGGTGATCACACCGTACAATTCGAACACCTCGATCTCGCGCTACAAGGCCGAAGCTACAGTTTTGCTCGACGGGGTTGCTCAAGCTTGTATAGTGTCTCCAAAACTGATGTAGAGGTTTGTCTCTCCATGGGCGTAGCGGGAGAGGGGAGCACATGGAGTTTGTCAGCAGTAGGGGGGGGCACCACCAAGGATTGGGGTTCTATATCTTTGACCGGTGACATTAAATAACAAGTCATTGAAGCATGAAACACCATCATGGAGCCAATGGGGACGGTAACCCCTCCGCTGGAACCAGGCGTCCCGTTAGGAGTGAGGTCATTGTTTTTCGATGAACTATTTTTTGCCACCTTTTTCCTGCGACGAGGATCTGCTGGCTCTAGACCAACAGGCTGTTAGGCTTTCCTAAATGGTGTGTTGAATTGAGGCCGGGCCATACGCGACACGACATTGGGGTCCTCTTGTCTTTCTGCCCCCGCCGACTTCACGCCATGTAAAGGTGTCGCATGTCGCATTCTCTCCTGGGAGCCCTAGCAGCGATTGACGATTCCAGAGCTCGAGAACTCTACAACCGGCTGCGGGATGTCTACAATCCGTCTCGCCCGGCTTCTTTCCTGCCAGCGCCACCTTTGGAGGAGTGGCGTGGGACGTCTGCATTTTGCGATGATTTTCAGTGCAGGTGCGTCCGGGCTCTGGTATCTTGCGGCGGCACATGTACATAGATTTGTCTAACAGTTCCCCGACACGAAGGCACGTTGTTTTGGGATAGAGCTGTCTTCTTCGGGTTTTAAAGAAAGAAATAGATGCCTTGTCTATAGGCAAAACATTGAACGATGGTAACGTTTCGGCATTTTCATGCCTCTTCGTCTTTGATGAACCGACATATGCACACTGTTCCTTTGGAGATGCACTTTTTCTTGATTGCAAGGATTTTCCGCGGACTCAAGAAACTCTAACACGCGCTAAAAGTTGCTTGTGAGTGCCTAGAACCCGCGGGTACCCGCATGTTGTGGATGAAACGGAATGCAACATTGTAGTTGTTGCCTTAATATCAATGTATAGCATCTGTTCAGTACCTCCTTTCTTCGCCTCTTTGAAGGCAACGACATCATGTTACGTCCTTGCAACCTACCCCAGGGTGAGCTGCAGACGAAACCGAACGTAGAAGCACACGGATAGAGTCCGAAAAGTCGCGACGAGACTAGGCCGGCAGAACAGGGCAAGGCGATGCCCTAATTATTACTTCGTACGAAAGAACCAGAGCCCATCGGGTTATCTCGGACGCTGGGCCACAAACAAACGGCGCTACGGTTCTTCTCCTGCTGCTTCACCGTTCCTACTGTACAGTTTGGGGGCCTGATGTATTGCCGCATAGTGCTACGAGATTCGACCAGCCGTATATCGGGAACCCGGCGTTATGTTGAGTTTACACTGCATACGGCCGATACCGTCCTTATGAAGGGTTACTATGTTGAAGAACTACTTGCCTGCCGTAGGCCTTACGAAGCGCCATATGTGCTGTACGTAAAAATGAATCGGTGCTTTACTATCACGTTCAGTTAATTTCCCATCCAACCTTTTTTCGTCTCTCAGGTACATGTCCAACTGGTAAGATACTGTAATTCCGGCAGACAAACATGAACACTTCAATGAAAAATAGAGAACAGGCATCCGGGCAGATCCCCCCGTTTCGCAGAAACGAAATGTCAGGAAACAAGTCCGTTGACATTTATGTTATCCAAGACGCGAACCCCTGACGTAGGGCAAACAGTTCAAGCGCGAAACGCATTCAATTGCTCAACTCCGCACGCGGAAGTTCGTACCTCCGCCCCCCCACTCGAAAACAGGCAGGAAAATGATGACCAAGCTATTGTTTTGAAACCCCAAAGTAACGACCGACTAGCACACAGCAGCACCATGCATCCCTGCCATACTCCCGAGAAACGGTTGAAACGGCACATGTAACCGCACGGACGGCCCTATCCTATAAAACCCTCCTGGAAATATTCGGGACAGCCTCCGACAGAGCAAACGCTACCATGACTCCTCCCATGCGAGAAATTCCGTCAAGTCCGCCTGTCGCGTGGGCAGTGCGGCATGCGCTGCGATCATTGCTATCTTAACCCTCTGCAGAAAGATAGCGGCCTCAACATTGCCGCTGTCAAAACCAGCGTCACTTCTACGGAGACCGGCCTTATTGGGGGCAGGTGGGGGGCCATAACCGGCCTTATAAAAAGGGTGCCTGGTATATGGCCTGACCTTATTTCGCCCTCCCTACCTTTTTTGTTGCCCACGTTGCATACGTGTCATTTTGGGTGATGGGGTTTGAAGCAATATCCCCTTGACAGGGTTTGCAATCTGAAACGGGGGGAGGAGCGCATGAGCTACTCTAGGCTTTGATGTACGGTCAGGTTGCCATGGACATATTGCGTAGAGACGTTCTGGAAAACACCCTACCGACGGTAAATCGAGTGTCGAATATCGTGCCAGAAATCAGCCCGATGGCGTTCTAAATTGCAGTGCGTCGATTACACACACGAACTCATGTAACTCCTGCGTGCCTTTTTCATCGGCGAAAGCTGGCGCTGACATATACCATCGGTACCCCCCCTTAACGCTGAAGGAACAAAATCGGGTCTAATTATTCGATTTCCTTTTTGTCCTCCACCTCTCCTTTCCGCCTTCGGTCCAATTTTCATTTTTTTCGGGATTTGTCGTGCCGCCCCTTATGGCCGGTGGGTGTCTGAAGTCGATCTGCGAATGCTTTGCTTCCAGCTTGATATCTAGTCGTTCCCGCGAGTCGAAGCGTTTCAGCCTCTCTTTCTTGGGAGCCTGCAATGGATTTTCGGCCGTCTCCTCACCGAGCGATAAGTTCGCTGTTTTGGAACTGGACGTATTTCCCGACTCGTACCTGAGTACACAGCGAGTCGTCATGTGAAACCGATCGTTTCTGCCCAATGTACGACAACGCCGAACTGGTGGTTTGGCCACATTCTTGGGGCGTACCTCGGGAACAACTTGTCGATTTGGGCCGCATGACGGCTTGTTCAAAGCACAGCGCATTTTGTTTCGTGCCCATTGGAGGTGTTTTCAATTAGTTTCGAGCGGTGTCGTAGGTGAGCTTATCTACGATACCGCTGGGGGTTGCCGTGACATTCCCTCGGGGCGTCTTTTGGCGACCACCAGTCAGTTTCGGCCGAACGGGGGCTTTCATGATAGCTGAAACCCTTCGAAACACTGTGAAGGTGGCTTCGAAGCATTTCGATCGGTGTTGATGACCAAGATTACGACACTGGTTTCGCTCAAGTCGAGGCCAATTGTGTGCTCGAACGCTGGACAAGGGCGTCTGCGAGGCACTCGGTGTCATACCCAACCCATTCCGCTGCTGCTGTGGACACAACATTGAACCCTCGCCCTGCTTGCTCCCGCTGGGTCGCCAATACTTCCTTGCAGGTTATTTGACGGTATCATCGCGAGTCAAGCGTTCAGCGTTTTCTCCTCCCCCCCCGACTGCACTAGCAACTACGCCGGTTTGCAACATGAGGAGGACGATGTGCCGGTCGTCGACGAGGAAAGAGATGGCGGCATCGCGTGGGCAGGTGTCATTCCCAAGGAGGTGACCGGCTCGGTCATGGTTACCCCTTGCAGCAACGGGGTCAAACCAGTGGCATCTCCTAGCTCGTGGGCATTGAACCAAGAGCCTGCACCGCAAACGAACCCACCGGCCGGATCAAGCCCGTCTACTTCACATCTCCACCGTGAGCTTGGCAGGGGAGGCGCAAGTGGTACTGCCATTTTCAACAGTGCGGTCGAGGGGTGTGGTGGTGGTGCCTTGTCTGGCTTGGTAGGTCAAGTCCCCGGAATGTCGTTGGCATGGCAGGAGTTGCGAGATGCGGATGGGTTCCCAGACGGGACCGGAGATGATACAATTGCGGAGGCAGACTGGCTAGATGTTTCTCTTGTAATGCTGGGTGCAATTGACGAGAACGGTTCGGCACTTTAACATTTCGGTTTTTGGTTGCTTGTGCCAAACCCTGATGTAGGCTTGCTTGTTGAATGTGTGTGCGAAGAGACATATTGAAGCAGTGTGTTAGTATGGCACCAGATGCTAACACGGTAGCCGTCCCTGGCGGCGGAGTTTTGCCGAAACAGCTGTCTGTGCAACACAGCTCTTTACGAAGAACGGCCAGTCGGATATTATATGTTATGTCTTAGACACGCAGTCTATAAGTCCATAGTTTCACCTCTCGGCATGTCCATGTAGGGTTGATATGTTGATATGAAACGTTATCTCCGAAGGATCTTAGGAAGAACCAACGAACTTGTTTGAACGGGGAGTGTTTCCGCAGCTACCAGCAGTGTCCTTTCATCGGTTCATCCCACATCAACGGGGTCAACGCTTCATCGGTTATTGCTCGTCTCCTTTCGCACCCTCTCGCGCACATACAGAAGCAACGGAGTTTTTTTTGTGCGTGTTTCTGAGGGAACTTGGAAAATCGGATTCCAGCAGTTTTTCATCCTCACAGCAGGGTACGGTGTGTAGTAGTCTATAGACTAGTACTTCGAAGCAGGGACCAAGAAGAAGAGTTTGTGTTTGCTCAACCCATATGTTTTTCGGCCGCCATATTCGGCCACATGGGATTCACGGAGTACCCAAGGTTTCAACGTTCGTCTTCATGATGAGTATGCCTTATACACGTCGGCCATTTTCTTCCATCATCATTACTGCTGCTCTACTACATACCATGTGCTCCTTTGCTCGAACGCACTCGTGTTTTTGTGTAACGTACAGCACTATATACGATGGTTGTAGCCCGCGGAAAATCACCTCGTCCAATCGCCCCTACTCACCAAGTACTTCTAAATGAGAGGACGTGGGGCCCGATAGGCCGCACCCGCCGGGGACACCATGTTGGGCTACTGATATGCTGCTCGACACCGCCGCCGAGAAAGGTGTCTACAGGTACATAGACTACAATAGTATCTCTATGCAGTCTACAGAGAGGCGATATTCTGTGCCACTGCTGAAAAATAGAACTACAGCAGTAGTACACCAGGTGGCAGTAGTACACCAGGTGTACCATTCTCATCTACTGTAAACATCACTGATATACGTTACCTCAAAGGATCAAATACGTTTTCTAAATTCAAAAAACGGCGGGAAACAAAACTGCTGCCCTTGAAACTCAAAAATCTGTAGATAGATTTGAAAAACGAGTGATGATGTACTCCTGTAGATTTCGTTCCATCTTCCATGATTTTTACAATATTATTCCTAGTATCTAACAAACCAGCAAGCTGTCAATAGACTCTGCGCCCTGTCCCCTGTGAAGGTTACACTTTACAAAACACGACACAACGGAGGTACTCTCCCCGATTTTTTTTCGTTGACCCAGCCAGTGGAGAACTACAGGGTATGTATCGTAAAATGTAAGTTACCTATCTATACAGATGTTTTTGTATTTAGCACCATCTGGCATCACTGATGGTTGGTATAGATCATCAGTGTATAGACTCGGAATATGTCCAGAACCCAGCCGGTTTTCCTCCACTCACTGAAAAGACTCCACCACATCATCCCGTTCGACTGTGGGTATATCTCGAATGGGTATAGTCTCTCTGTGTGTGTATTTATTTTTCCTTAACATGTACTACATAGAAGAGCATAGAAGAACTACTACTACATATTGCAGTGTACATGTCGCGTCAGCTGTCGGGTACAGTCGGGCCTATCTATCGTATCGAACAGCCCGGCAGAAGACGTCAGAGCTTCAACCAAATACCGTATATGACACAAGATAACACACCTACCTACATAATAATAAGACAGCACACCCCCCACAGAAAACGACACCCCGGTGACAATATAAATAACTGGTTTTGGGCGCTTCTGACAAACCATCGATTTATCACCGGGGGTACATAAGATATCATACCCCAGTGATATTTTTAGGACCAGTGACCAGAAACGGGTATACCCGGGTACTTTATCACCAATTTCGGGTACACTTAGAATCAACACGCTTGCACGCCCAGGCTGTCAGCTGATTGATTGGCCGAAAAACCGTTGTTGTACCCGTTTCTGAAAAAAACACCATCGGGTACAACTTCCGCTGGAATTAGGACCCTCTGGTGTAACCGATATTGGTTACTAGTGTACCCGGAAGAGGTATATTTCGTACCCAGAAATTGTCATATTATCCCGGCACCCAACGAGTCTAAAACCCGCAGATTAAAACGTATACCGCACATACCCGCACGACACACCAGTACCGCATACCCCACAGAACCCACACAAACCACCAACAACAACGGTAAACGCTCGTTGACGAGCACATTGTGCCTCGAAGGATACCAATCTCCGACAGCCTCCTCCGTAGATCGCGGCGAAACCATCCGCCGTGCTCTGCTGCTGCTTCTGTGCTGCTGTGCTGCTGTGCGTGGGTGATATGTGTTGTGTGTGGTTAGGAAGAGGTTAGGAACTAACTGCCTCCGGGGACAGGGCACGGCGGTTGGTTTTTCGCCGCGATCTACGGAGGAGGCTGTCGGAGATTGGTATCCTTCGAGGCAATGTGCCCGTCAACAAGCGTTGGTGGTTTTGTGTGGCTACTTTGGGGTTTGCGGTACATGGTGTGTCGTGCGGGTATGTGCGGTACACTGTTTTTTCTGCGGGTTTTAGAGTCTTCGGCGCCGGGATTATATGACCATTTATTTCTGGGTAACGAAATCGACCGTTTGTTTTCGGGTACACCAGTAACCAGCATCGATCGGTTACACCAGAGGGTCTGGAGATGCCGCCGGCTACCTGGGGGTACCTGCGGGTGCAGGCGCGTTGATTTCTAAGTGTACCCGAAATTGGTGATAAAGTACCCGGCCGGGTATATCACCGGGGTGACAGCATCTGCCCTGGGCAATCACACACACAACCACGTCAGTCAGCTGTGTGCGGGGAAACACCCCGCATGGAGACCCCCAACAACATGAACGTGCAGAATGCAGCCGCAAGTACCTCCGCTCCTTCGACAACTGCTTCGACTGCAGCAGCGCAGGCGCCACAGCAGATCACCTCCTTCTTTGGGCCCGCGCACACCTCTACGCAAGAGGCTCGCTCCTACTCCTGCTCCTGCTGATCTCACCCCCTTTCATCACACCCCAAAGCACACGCTGTCTGTGCTTGTTCGGACGTGCTATCACACCCCTTTTTATCACACCCCCTCATTTATCACACCCCCAAACACACGCCGTGGGTGTTCGGACGGGCTATCACACCCCCTGTTTTATCACCCCCCCTTAGGGGCTCCTGCGAGCTGCACTTTGTCACCCGTGGTACACAAGATAACACCCCCCACACACAGGATACCACACCCGGTGATAATATTTTCAAACTCCAAAATGGTATCACCGGGGTGTGTTATCTTGTGTCATATTCAGAAGAAAAAACAAAACGTACCCCATGAACAGCTGTTCTGATCTGATTGATGTTGAACCTTGTGTCAATACATGCCAACTGGCATCAGCTGAGCGTTGGCGCGGCAGCTGCCAGAGCGGCTGTAGAGCGAGCGTGTACGTGTGGGCGCGGTACGAGAGGGGGAAAGAGCGCACAGCAGTAGTAGCGTTCCCAGCATATACGAGTACACAGCACAGGGGGTAACCGAGCAATATGTTTCAAGTCGCATGTGCATATGTGCATACGGTATATGACACAAGATAACACACCCCCTGGACCGATTTTCAAAGCTCGATAACTACACGACGAAGAGGATGCATAAACGAAACAATACGTTTTCGAACAGCTCTCGACGAGACGGTTCCAACGCCGTCGTTTTCGGCGCTGTGACTCTTCCTGCTGTTGAGAAATTGAGCTTTGAAAATCGGCCAAGGGAGTGTGTTATCTTGTGTCATATACGGTATACAACGTCAATCTGCTGTCAGGAGTTTGGTTCGCAACTGAACCTCCGTGCGTCGATGACGTCACGACCCCGTCATAATTCCCCGTCCCGCCACACACCTCTTTTGCAGGAGCCCATACTATGTAGGTACAGCAAGCTCCGCCCCGCGACGCGCTTTCCTGCGTACTGAGGAAGAGGTTCACACGCGACGATACCGGACGGTTTCTCGCCGCAAGTTTGGCAGCGGAGTCCTGCCAGGGCGCAGTCCTCCTACAAGAAAGAGTCGACGCTGGTCCTCACCTCCAATCATTGCCGGCCACCAGACCCCCTGGAGTCCCGACTTTGGCTGGTCTTGCTGCTCCTTCGCTGTATAGAGGAGGAGTTCACCATATGGTCTTTTCCATCCAGTACTACACCTCAGCTTCATCCATGCGGTATATTTTACAAGGTGAGCCCGTTCTTGGGTTCAAAAAGAAGCGTAGACTTGTGTGCGTAGACGACAGTTGTACGTACACACTACACCAAAGGGTGTATGCGTACCAGGTACTCCGTACAGTAGTACAGTATGCCACAGCGGACACACATCCTATTCCTACCTACAGTAATCTGGATCGGTTTTGCTGCCGTCCGACCTGTGATCACCAAACAAATCAGCGTCTTTCCCAACCTACCAGTGATTACCGCTAGAACGGGCCAGAGTCTGCGGACGAGGGATTTTTGACGCTGACTCTTTCCTATACTTGAATCCTATACAAAGAATGAAAACAACCCGCCAGGGTTAGGTGGCATGTTGTACATTCATCAGTTGAGGACACCATGAAGAGGTGTCGTGCGTGCTGGCACGTTCAGGTTTGCAACTGGAGCTGATATATCGAAGGTCGCAGCAGCCACCAGCTACTGCTGACAACCCTCCGTTCAGGGGTTTATGGTCCGTGACGGTGAACACAGCTGTGACAAATGTTGGGTGCCGCCTTGGTTCCGGCACAGGTTTCGGACTGTTTTACAGAGGCTGCTGCGATCTTCCATATTTCAGCTCCAGTTGCAAACCTGAACGAGCCAGCACGCACGACGCCTCTTCATGGTGTCCTCTGCTGATGACCGTAGAATGCGCCGCCAATAACCCTCGAAACTGACATTGTTTGAGCGCCTTCCATTTTGGCTCTTTAGACTTGAATTTATAATTGTTGTGTGGTTTTTTATCTGGATTTCAAAGGAGGCGTGCGGAGGTAGACGTGCAACGCATGTTTGAGCAGCCCTACTGCCGCCCTGTGCAAGAGTAAACGCTTTATGTTTTTCGTGATGCCTTCCGACTTGTCTTTTATGTCTCTTGTGAAATTTCGGGTGCTCTTCTTGCGTTTGTTCTCAAAATTAGTCAACATCGAAATTCTTTGTCCGCAGACCCTTAACCCTTTGGATCTACAGGCGTCCTGCCAGATC